TCAGGGATTACAATGAGGATAGTGATCAGGAAATGAGGAGATTGAGGCCGGAGCCTATGTAACTTCCTCTTCCTCCATTACTCGGAGCCACTTGTTTTTATAATCCAGAGCATGGTCTAGATTTGTCATTATGCATAAATTCATGTAATTCTCACTTCTACCGCTCGAGGCACATGTAATCGACTAAAGATATTCTGTGGATATAAAACCGTCCCCTAGGTTTGAGTACGAAAAAAATGATCTGACTCAGGCTCGAACTGAGGACCTTCTGTGTGTTAGACAGATGCGATAACCAACTACGCCATCAGACCGATGGGAAGGCCTCTCATTGCGTCATCATGATATCAATACCATGCATTATGTAATACATAATGTAAATATTTTATGAATGCGTCTCGTAAGTATAATGCATAATCAGTGGCTAGGCAGACTGTCGCGATGATCCTGTACCACTGCAATGCGTCCTGGTTATGCGTTTTGTAAAGCAGAATCATCTGAATTCGATCTGGGAAGAAATGTACTTAATAATAATATCGATATGATGCGACAGCGTTCCAATGTTCCAAGCGCATCAACAAATGGCTCAAACGTCCTACAGCATGCCATCTTGCTGTGCTCTAGTAGTCGATGCATCGCCTGATATGAATGTGGGCCTTTTGTGTGGCCCGTTTCAAGGCAAGGAATCACGATGAGATCCGACACTAGTGGCAGCATACACATAAACACAGGCCAGGCCATCTCCAAAACCCTCCATCGCGACCATCTGACATTTGTGATGAGCTCTGAGCAGTGCAGACAGAGTGTCAACGGTCCCTGGATAACGGCCAGGTTGACACGAGTCAGATGCGCCATTGAGATATTGGATACCCATTCCGAGCGTAACCAAGTATTCAAATTGCTGTATATCAAATTCGGGAAGAGCGATATTGTCTGCGCCTGCCGCCTGCCAGTGTAAGGTTCAAGAAGCTGATACCGACAGGCACTGCAGCATTACCGCTGGACGGAAACGTGTGTGCTGTGCTCGTCGGAAAAGATAGCCGGCTGCCGGATCTGGAGGGAGGATAGAGAGTGGACAGTGTAGGTAGCTGAGCTGCCGTAGTAGATACTAAGCGAGGCCATGTCGAACATGCGGTTGCAACATGTACTATGTAGTAGTTCTGCGGAAATCGTGTTGTCGTAGCTATAAAATATCTGTGCAGTGTTTTCAGTGTGATTAACGGAAAGAAAACGCTGGACATTGTTGCAAACGATGAGGACAAGGGAGCTTGGATGATGCCGACAGTGTTGGCGGCTAGAGAGATGCAGTGAGCGCACCCGACGATTACCTAGTATCATACACCAACGTGGTTCCTTATAATGAAAAGTTCTGTAAGAAAATGTTATAAATTGAGAGGAATATGGTGCTCATCATCGTCAACAGTGAGCACGAAGGTTTCGGATGCTGCCAACAACAGCTGCAAGCGTAGTTGCCTAGAATGGTATGTTTGTGATGGCCAAACATATGGTGCCTGCCGCTGACGGCTTTGTTTCTCCGGAGTATGTATCTTGGACTCATAATTTCAGCCTTAGTATCTTCAAGGGCACGATCTGGTATCCGAATACCGCTCGAATCATCGAGGCATATTACGAACAAATACACGGGCGTTCTATGGTCCATGTACACGACTACGGGTGTGCGATGTAACGTCCGTGTCTAAAAAGTCATACAAATGGTCGAAAGTAATGTAAAGTATTATGCAAAGGTGCAGCAAACACGAGGCGCGCCAGCTTCGCTACATAGCTCAAAAAAGTAAGATAGCGGAAACCGCTCCAACGTATTTCATCATAAAAACCAACCAGTTTCTGGCAGAATGGACCAAGAAGCTTGTACCAGAAATCTGCTTTTGTCCCGCCGCCTGCTGTGAATCAATATTCGAGGTTGGAAGGTTTTGCGCAGGCATCATCGATTGTTTCTCAATATTGCCAGACCCGCACATGACCTGAATACCGACGGAGGGGATACCGTTAACGACAACAAATAACACTACTGGGAACTCAGTCATCCAAAAATTAGGGAGAGGATTCAAAAACGTACGTGCAGGACCAGGAGGCATGATGGCTGCGTTAGGGGGCAACTGGTTTACATGAAGAACTGCACTTCCATCGCTATTTCCTGTATAGGAGCTCTGCAACTGTACCGACCGCATGCCCATATTCTGTAACGGATGGATCATTAATCAATTTTAAAATAAGCAACTGAGTCTATCGTACCATTGTATGCGTAGAGAACCCGGTCCTCATAACAATAACGTTTGCTGTTTGGATGCTGTCCACATTACCAAAAAGGTCTGCTAGCGTCAATGAAACATTGAAATAGGAGCCGCCGTAAGAGAGTTGGTTCGGTAGACCCTGAGGTTCTGGTCGACGTTGGTTGTAATACGAAGGATAGAATTGCTCGATTCGATATTCGGTAGGATAGGGGGCGGTGGTATTCACGTCACTGTTGGGATTCGAACCTGCCACGAAGACTGAACCTGAAAAAAAACTTAGCGAAGCTCTGGTCTGATTAGATTAACACTACCATCTGGAAGTAAGGTAGCCGTGGAGTGATACATGCGTGGAATGCTACTCGAAGAAAGTCCATCAAGAGACCAACGTTTGGTAGCTGGTGCCTTTGGATCATACACGAGCGGCGTCAATTGTGGTTGGTCAGCGTACGACTGGCCGATAGTAAATGTGGTGTTTCCGTAACCGGCAGTACCTGTAAGTCAAAATTACAACATGATTGTTCAGAAGCCTTCTGGCACTAACCTGTCTTCGCGCCGTTCAAACACAAGACCCTTCCATCAGGAAGCAGGATCAAGTTTCCCATCGTTCGACCCTCCGGCAAGGCATCTAATTCAACGTAATTCGGGGATTGGTCGGGGGTGATCTGCACACAGGAGGAAGACGCTGGCCAATGAGGGATGTCCCAGTTTTGGGTCCATCTGCATTCATGTATTAATTCAACCTAGAGACATACGGTCTGGAATACGGACTCACTGCTCAGTACTAATGTTACTACCACCACAGAACATGATCGACGCCGTGTAGTTGTTGTCCGGGGTCAACGGTAACATCGTGCTTCCGGCACTCGCAGGATATACACGGACGGCATCTGGCATATCCTGCAATGGAGTTTCCATATTTTGGTCCATATCAAGCAGGACCGTTTTCCAGCCGGACTGAACAAAGAGTTTGCCAGATGGAAGGAGCCATAGAAGAGGGTACAAGTTTATAGGGAGCGTATTCTGAAGGATGGGCGAGAGAACTGGCTGACCACGACTGGGAAAGAACTCGTACGTAGGGTTGTTTTGTGCTGCATCATTAACGTAACCTCCATACATGCAGCCTCCAGCCTATGGGGGTTAGCAAATCAAAAATACATCAAAGTGTGAAAAATGTACAATAATGACGCTTCCGTCCTGAAGCGTTTCGCTGCATTCGCAACGTTAGTGCGGGGTGACACGTTGGCAAAGATACTCACAGGGTAGGATACCAACGCCTTGTAGTCATGGGTGCAGCCAAAAACCAATCGCAGTTACCGCCATCGCATGGGTTGAGCATCCTAAAATGGTTCAGAATAATTTGCCATGTCAGATAAAAAGTTTGTACCGAATACTGAGGTGCAGCGAGGCGTGACCATTAGCCTGATATATAAGAAAGAAAAAGAGTGCATACGATTGTCTGCCATCAGGATCGTCATAGGGGGCTCCGCCGAGTTGGCTCATGGCAGCATCACCGCCATAAGTGACCGCCTGATTACCGCCAACATTGAGCCACGTCCCATTACCTAAAACACTTCCTCCCTGACCGATTATCGTAAATATTTAGGTGAATCAAGGGGGAAACAGAATAAGCTCACCGCGCAGAAAGAATTCGTAATAACATCCATGGGACGCGTTTGTTGAGAGCTGGCAGACCATTCTAGAGGAGACAGTCAACATACTAGAACTAAACGTCACAGAATAATACAAACCTGCAGCCCATGCAGGGTGGCCATTGATTTGTGTCGGGTTGTTTTCTGTTTTGTCGACGATATAGACCTTGTCTTCGGTACCCAAGAATACCTAAAGTCGAATGTTAGTCGAGGAAAGTGAAGCAGCGACCGTCGGGCTGACGTACCTGTTGGCCACTGCCGATGCTGTTGCCAACGAGCTCAAACGCGTTGACCGTGATTGCCTGTTTGGGCTGGCCAGGTGCGTTCCTCGCCGCACGCACATATCCAGCAGCGCAGAGAAGGTATAACACAAGCTCAGATATCATCTGCTTGGAAGAAGTAAGCAGAAGCATGGCGGGGATGGCGGCGGCAGAGAGAAAGAAAAACAGTTGACTAGACGCACCAGGCATAAATATAAATGTCACATAATGTTGAACAGTATTCCAAAAACTGTCCAAGTCGATTATGTACCAGCCGATATTGGGCCGGTGAAGGACAGCCTAGAAAGTACAATTATAGGCGGGCGCTTCAACTCGGAGTCCCATCTGTGAGACATTCCTGGCAGTTTTGAAGTAGTAGCGGCGGTAGAACGCAAGCAGAACGCCTGCTAACTTGACAGGTTGAATCAATACGAAACTTCTTACGGGGCAGGAATGTGTATCACTGTAGTCTCCCCCAATCCGAGATCTCAAAAGAAGGCAGTGGTTCCTTAGCCTAGTATAACCTCTGGTACGGTCCTGATCCATATCACGATGGTTTCCGAGAGTGCCATACAACTGCCAGTGGGTGACGGCAGTGACAATTGCCAAGTTGACGTGTGAGCCCTTGGCTGTTGGACTTGGTTGTTGAGCTTGACCAGGCTCGACTCGGAACGAGCCGAAGTCTTCGCTTAAACCTTAAAACGTCGGTGATTACGTACAGTAGCTAGATTTTGCATACTACGCGACAACTACGCGACGACTATACTATCAGTTACCACAACTTCAGACGGGCGCTGGTTCGGACACTTTACTATATCTCACTCAACTCTACTTCAAATCATATCCTGCTTGACGGCGTATCATTGTACACTTGTAATACACTACAATTGCGAAGTTGGATATTTCGAGAAATGATTGAGATCCTTGTTGAGGTGTGACAGAGCCAAAAATCACGTCTTGCTGTCATGCCAAGCCGAGTCTGCTGTAGCGGAGTTTTATTTGAGGAGCTGATACCGACAGGCACTGCAGCATTGACGCCGGACGGAAACGTTGTGCGCTGTGCTCGTCTGGTTTCTTTTCTCCTGACAAGATAGCCGGCTGCCGGATCTGGAGTTATGTATGATGCGTCGTTCCATCTTGGTTTCTTGGGAGTTCCTATCTATCTCTGGCACGGCGACACTTATAAAATGCCACCGCTGCGGATATGTCAATTCATAAATTAGGTTGGCGTCGCGTTAAAGCTTTAGTGTTTTACAATATTAACATCTATAGGTCGCATTATGAGTAACAGGATTAATGTGCTGCGAAACGGGAACTCTTCCGCAATCGCGCGCCAATTCGGTAAAATATGAATCTGACGTTCAGAAATGAGGGTCAATGTTGCATGCCACTTGGTGTTTGTTCGACTCACGGTAATGGCGCCATGAGCGTTGCGAGGCCGGCCAAAAGAGCGGTAGCGCCAACAGTCCCTAGTCTATCATACATGGCTCCGGCGAATAGCGGAAATGCAGCGGCAAATGCTGATCGCATTGCGCTGTTACTTGCCATGGCAGAGGCAGCGATTGGGCGGTAGGCGGTGACAAGGTACGTGAACGTTGACGTGAAAACAAAATATATCCCTGAGCCGAAAGGTACAGATGCGATGATTGGGGCAATCCAGTGGACTTGTGGATATGTAGTGAACGCAAGCCAGAACAAACCTGTAGACATGGTAAGCATTGCGCAACCAAAAGCCACTGGTTACTAACCCACTGGCACGAGTATAGCTCCAACTTGACCCATAATAAGCCTCATCTCAGGAGGTGGGTCACCATTGTATTTGGCAGTTTCACGGGCATATAGTCTAGAAAGGAGTGTTATTAATATTGATACTAATGCTGAACACCAGAGAAAAAGGGACCTGTTCCAGAGCGGTTGTGTGGAAATGGCCGAAAGCATCCCGAGTCCAATTCCAATGAACGTTAGTCCGGTGGTTTGCATATTAAATCCATGAATATCTCCGAAAATGATAGGGAATGCTTGGAATGCCAAGTATAGGATTCCAAGAAGAAGAGCATTCCTGGAATGGTCAGTACTTACACCGAGTGTCAATGAGTTGCCCTTACCAGGAATCCAAGAGCAGTGCCATTCGGTCGAATAGAAGTAATTCTAGTAAAGGTCCCGCATCATTACGTGCGATGAAGCGCAGTTGATTAACTTACGAAACGGTGTGTAGCAACTAACAATGATAGCAGAAGCGAGGCTGCCTTCCCGTCTGTCCAAAGGAGCGTAAAATTTCGAATCTCCAGTCGACTCCCGTAGTCTGTCAAACAGATTAATGTATCGCACACGATAAAAGAGGACATGCACTCCTACCTTTTTGCCTTCTTCTTCAGGATTACTGGGACGTACGTCTCAGGAACAAACTAAATTCAAAACATCAATCGATCGATCTCACAAAAGAAATGCAAAACCCACTGTAGCCAACATCAGCAACTCTACAAAAATCCAGCATAATTGCACTCGATACGTCCATTCCCAGTATAGGTGCTATCAGAAAAATGTCACACGAGGATCAAGGATCAGGCCAAATGAGTCTGACCTGATTGATGAATCTGCGTCATCACGTCATATCAGAAACAGTGCTGCCAATGAGCGCGAAAAACGTACCCAGCAATCAAAGGACCAGCCACGGGTCCGATAAATGGAGATCTTCAAGATGATCAATCACATAATTTAGCCGCTAGCGTTGTTCAGGTGAACCTACATTGTATACACAGCCATTGGACTTGCCACGTGATTCAGCAATATCAAACAGAACGCAAACTCAAGGGCCTACCTTGCAATACTCGAATTCGGAAACATATCGCTTATACTACCTCCAGCTACACTCAAAAAGGCTGATCCGCAGAATCCAGTGATAAGGCGAAAGACCAAGAAAACAGCTATTGTTCTGTTGTAGATCTATCATCTCTTCCGGTAGTAATTGTACTCACCGATGTTAGGAGCGAACACTACAGGGAATGTGAAGATGAAGAAAAACACATAAGATGCTTGGTATACAACATTTCGGCCTGCTCAACTCCATGAGAGTATACTTTTGAATAGAAATAATGGACGTACCATACAATTCGGACAACGGGCCAACGAGGAGCGGACCAAATCCGAGGCCTATCACATACAGACTAATTCCGAGAATGGTCACTTCATGTGAGACATGAAACGTTTGGGCGGCACCCTGTTCTGTGAAGGCAGCCTGGAGCACAGTTAGTCTGGACCAAAAATGAGATATAAAATGACTCGCAATCGAAGAATCACACGTCACGCATAGAGAGGCGGAACTGATGATTAGGACTGCAAGCCACCGTCTGAACAAGGACATATTCTGCGGATTATCCTGCGGCTCGAGGACGACGAGGTGTGGATCACCCTCGGCATCTTGTGAAGCAGACACGTCGGTTTTTATGGTAGCAGCATCGTCGTTGGGCTGGGTAAATGAGCCAGACTCGGATATCCTTGTCAACGCTGACATCACGGTAGGGCACAAGCCCAACCTGAAGGACCTCTTGGACTATAAAGAAAAATGGATATCGGTCTGTGTAAGCAGGTGCTAAGTGGATGACTGATGCACTTAGCACCAAATGGCATTTGTGGGGTATGGTTGTAGCGGCGGCCGCCTCATGAAATGACCGACGTCGGCATGAATCATGATGAGCGTTTGAACCGTCCAGATGTGACCAGATTGGACGAAGTCACCCATATATGCGACTGCGACTGGTGATTGCTCTCCTAGACTAAGTGTGATAAATGTGTTCGCCCGGTATTCCCACTGGCAGAAGATCTGGTGTCGAGAGTCGAGATGGTAGACTCGACCGTAGGAACGGATCAAGTCTTCGCCGGCAGCCTGTCTGTTCATGCGATAAATTTAGAAATAAGAATGTGTAAGAAAGTCAATATTATGTAATATTGTTGACACCCGACGGTGCCTTTGGTTGAATTTTTGGCTTCAGGGGGTTCACTTGCTTGAACGTTGAAATGTCACATGTCATTTCCGGCGCCCCTGCCCTAGCCAGGCGTAATTCTTCTTTGTACAGCCTCCCGCTTTCTTTGTAAGATTGCTCTAGGCCTCGTCGATGTACGTACTAACCGGCGTGTACAGTTATCTTTTCACACTTGCAAGTAAAGTGGATTTTAAGGTGGCCAACCTGGCCAGGTGCTGTTCAAACCTGTGTTTAGATCAGTGTCAGGGTCGGCCCGTAATGCGCTCAACACACTGCTTCGTGATGTTTCAACAAGTCCATGATTGCGGCATTGGTATTCTTGGATTGGCACGTTCCCAACTTCCCTTGCACCAGGCTGAATTCCAAGCCACGGTGAGATGCTTATTTCGGTCAATCAGATACCGTCCATTGGATCTCACTTCGGCAATTCAAGCGCTAGATGGTGGTATATCAACCACGAGCGCGATTGTCACACATCCACCACGTTTGCCCCCGCTCCTCTCCAATACCATGACCACAGTCTCGAATGATCCCAGCTCGTGGATCAACTCATATCGTATTTTCAGCTATTTTACAGGTTCGTGGAGACGCATACGGGTGATGACATGACTAACCTTGGCCACGATTGCATAGTCGCCGCCTCTGTCGGGGTAATATACGATTGGGGTGAGTAAGACTGAGTGTGACAGAACCGCTGACATCCTTATCGTATTCTCAGTCCTCACGTTTGGACAAGAGGTAGGTCGATTCATTACTGGTGTAGCCATCTCACTAAGAATAGAACAATAGGTTGAACTCTTCTGGGTGAGCAGATTCCGCCGTGGCGTAAAACTATATTCAATTCATAGCAGAAGGGACGTCGGTCCCTGATGACCGTTCTGTATCTCAGCGTATGTAGCTATGTTTAGACATGCTTAGCAAGTCGTGCTGACGCGAACACACCCTAGATACGCTATGTTGGAATAGGATATGTTATGTATGTATGAAAGGCTAGAAGATTGATATTGTGCTCATAAGCGATCTCTCACAATCAGCCTCAAGATGCTGAGTATGTCATTCTATATTCACTGTGTTTGTTTCTTCTGACTTGCAAGCATACAGCTAATGTTCCGACAATTGCACTTACAAGTTCAGTGAGTGCTCCGCGCCGATGGCTTTTATTCCCACTGAACTTCCATGTAGGGGTGAGTGAGATTCTCGACCAACGTGTCGGTTCAATATAACGACTGCTATAGTTGTAAGTTTGTTTTGAGCGTGTGATCTTTCGAGATTCGTAACTAATGCTGGATTTTTCAGGCCGTGTCATGTATATCATACTGGAAAGTACGAATGAGGTCGTGGCTGTGATGTTGGGTGGTAAGCTATACACCTCCGTGATATATTGACTTGACCAAAACATCATGCAAGTCATCTTGATCGCTCGGCTGAATGCCATGTATCAGCGATCCAGAAAGATGCTGGTGTTCCTTGTTATCATCTTTCTGGCCATCAGAATCGCCAATGCAGTGATGGCCGCAATGTCCTTGATGCATATTTCCGTGGGTAAGCTTGAATTATGGACAAAAGACTTGGCTGCATCACGCTCATTGACAAATACCAGAGGAAGTGGCTCTCTCCGGCACCTATGGATGCTCGACTACCTACGTGGGAAATACCATACTTCTATATGCCATCACCTGGATACTCGACATTGGATTGGAGTTCCTTCTGTTGGGTCTCATGCTTAGGATTGCCGTAAAGCGCTTGCGTGAACTGCGACAATACTCAAAAAGTGGTATTTTTGGGGACTGTTGCACGGTGTTAGTAAAAACTCACCTGTGTTATTTTGCGAGGTGAGCTCGTGATGTAAAAATAGTTTCCTTTCCGCTGAAGTTCTGCACATGCCAGTTTTGTTGCAGTTTCTTGCTTCTACGTCGGGTTTTATTCTCCGACGCTCTCAAGGGTATGTTGGTTTGTTGTCGATCTTCACATGCGGCCATAATTCACCATCTTCGTAGAACCTGAGTTCTGTAGAAACTCAAATTTATCTTGGTGTTGCGCAAATCTTCCAGTTTGCGCAGATGTTTGTGATGGGACCACGCCTGATCCTTAGTGTTCGAGGTCATCATGCCGAGGACCTAGCTGGCCCTGAGCCGGATCCAACAACCGCTCTTACCTCAATCAGTTTCCTGAAGCACGCCCACTTGTCAACTAGCGGCAGCGTGGAGATACTCGATGTAATTGATATACAATAAGCGGGAAGTCTGTAGGGAGAGAACTTGTCTTAGTTTAATGTATTCCAAGTCTCGTCGCAGAAGTTATCTACTGTACATGTGTAACATAAGTAGGCTTGGTCGATGTTGTCGCTGTGATACTTATTTGGGTTATTTGGTGTTGTGAAGTAAATGTTTGCGTTTGTTGGGTCGCTTGAGCTGGATGTGCGCTCCTCAATCACTGTGGAAAGGAAAGCCCATGAATTTAAGTAGGAGAAACCGTTGAAAATCAATAGAGAGAGCCACTGAAATTAATGAGGTAGCGCAATGAATTGACGGCCATTGAATCCCCCGAAAAGACAATGGACATCAGTGGTTGAATCACTGATTGTTGTTGACATGGCCACTGAATTCAATGCGGTAAATCACTGACTTTCGATGGTGCGGCCACTGATTATTGACGACATAACCATTGAATTTGATAGGGTATATGTATTTAGCACAAGAATGTGGTACCACATTATGTATTGAGCCTGGGTGCCCAACAGTACATGAAGGCATTTCACGCAGCATAGTTTGCCATTGGCAAGGACTGAACATGTGAACCCAAGACCTGCAGTGATGAGAGGTGCATCATTGTTAACCGCTAGGCCACAGGACCATTTCTATATATCAACAATAACGCAAATATATCCAAATGTTATATGACAGTGCAATGCTAATATGTCCGAGGAAGAATGAAAATTCCACCAAGTCAGTTTCACTAATGAAATTCATATCACACACCATTGAGATTCATTGGCTGATCCGTCACATTTTGTTGTTTTCTCCATATTATTTCATAGGTTGTGTCCATTTTTTTTTGGTGATCCATTGAAATTCATGTGTCAAACCATTAAAATTCATTGGCCTAACCACCACATTTTATTGTTTGATCAATCGTATTTCATAGTCACATATCATTGTTTACACCACTGAGTGCTCACACTGGCAATGAAATCTATGATATTAGCCGAAACAATGAATACACTTGCTGGGGGATTCAGTGTTATGCACATGGAGGCTCATTGGTTCAGTGCTCAAACCACTGAAATTCATTGTTTCTACTTCCCACAGTGCAATGTGAGTGACAACGAGTACGACGGGCACTTTTCTTCCGTTTAATTCGCCCTGAATTTTGCTGTGAATGTCGAGCAACGCTTGCACATGAAAATTTCTACTCGGCGCGCAAAGCAGTATCTAGTCAAGCGGCCACTGCCCTAGCCAGATATTTCTCCGATCTGCCGTTTTTAATACTTCTTTTGGCTGTTCCTTGGGCACTAGTGTACGGTCAAATAGAGGGGTGTAAATTTACAGGCGTAAATTTACACCTGTAAATTAGCGTTAATCAGCATGTGAATCTCGAAGGGCATTTTGGGGGTGTAAATTTGGGTGAATTTGGAGTTTGCCAATCGGGCGTCTCCGTGGTGGTGAATCTGTGAATCTCGCAAAATATCTACACTGGCTAGGCTAGGCCATTAAATGGAAAACATTCGCAACCATGAATTGTGAAATGAGAAATAAGCTACAGTTACTATCTCTTTATGTTCAAAATCTCCCCGAAACCATTCCTTTGATTCTAATGTGAGTAACATTTTTTCGCATGTTTAGTTCTCAGTCTCATAATGACTACACAGAAACTAAAAACACCATACAAACCTCTCGTCAAGTGGCGTGATATGGAATCCACTATCCTTGGCAAGCGGTCCGCTGAAGATTTGCCTCCTGCTGGTCAAATGCCTCCTCCACCTGAAGCAAGGACAGTGGACTCGGACTCGGACTCACTGGCAGAAGAGTTTGACGATGGCGCAGATTGGTTGGATGCTCCAGCTGCTCTTTCAGAGTTTAGGACAGCGGAGAAAGATTCGTTCGTGCTTGCGGCATCCAGCGGTATTGATTTGGTGCACCCTACCTACATGAACTACTTGATTCAGTCGGAAAACAACCTTTACAGTCGGGTTCCGCACCAACAAAGAAGGCCGCAAAAACCTTGTCTCCGTCCGTCCCTGACCCTTCTGCTTGGGACGAGTGGAAAGTTGACTAACTCACCTAATTCACTGTAATTCACGGTACATTTGACCTGATTCACCTGTAAAATAGCGTTAATTTACAGACATGTTAATTTACGGTAATTCACAGTGGTGAATTTGAAGGCCTCTGGGCGCACTGTAAATTTACCCTGTGAATTTCGGACAGTTCCAAATTGACCGTACACTATTGGGCACAGAGGAAGGATCGTTAGTACTCCATGCAAACTCAACAGCATCAAACACCCTATAAGCGGTGTCTCTAAAAGAAATCAGGTATTCCTTCAGGATTGTACAGAAATGTCCCTTTAGAAATAAAATTTGCTTATGCCTCATTATTTTTCCTTGTGTTTGCTGTTGTCCTCAATTTAGAGCGATTGAAATTTCTTATGTTCCTTAACGGGCTTATGTGGCTTGCAACTTGAAGTGGAATAAGGCAAAATAAGCACACCGATGTTTTCCTGATAAGTTCAACTCTCCTGTGTATTCTTTGTAAGACTACCCTCACGCTACACACATCGATTTTGTTCTATGACAGGGAGTTGCCAGTGGATATGACGAATGTATGTACTTTTTGATCCAAACTGTCACGGTACTAACCAGCGTGTACATGAATTAGAAGAACTTTAGGTTATGGTTTTTCACTTGCAAGTAGAGCGGGTTTTAAGACGTCAACTTGGGTAGGTGCTGTAACCGCTGTTCAAACCTGTGTGAGATCAATGGAATTTAAACACAGTGTCAGGGTCAGTCCGTAATGCGCTCAACACTGATTTGTGATGTTTCAACAACTTCGTGACTACGGCACTGGTATTTTTGGATTGGCACGTTCCCTTCCTTCTTCCTTGCCAGGCTGAATTCTTTGCCTTGCTGAAATACTTCCTTCGGTCAATCAGATATTGTCTATTGAATTTCACTTCGACAATTCAAGCGCTGGATGGTAGTATATCAATCACGAGCACAATCGGCATACATCCACCAATTCCAACGCTGCCTCTCACTCCCATCCTTTATCACTATGACCCTATTCTCGAATGATCCCAGCTGGTGGCCATTCATTAACTCATACCGTATTTTCAGCTATTTTACAGGTTCGTGGAGAGACATACGGATGATGATGGTGATGACATGACTAACCTTGGTTGCGGTTGCACAGTCGCTGCCTCTGTTGGGGTAATATATGATTGGGGTGAGTAAGACTGAATACTATGAAAGAACCGCTGACATCCTTATCGTATTCTCAGTGCTCACGTTTGGACAAGAGGTAGGTCGATTCATTACTGGTGTAGCCATCTCACTAAGAATATATCAATAGGTTGAACTCTTCTGGGTGAGCAGATTCCAACGTGGTGTAAAACTGTATCTAATTCGTAGCAGAAGGGACGTCGGTCCCTGATGACCGTTCTGTATCTCAGCGTATGTATCTATGTTTAGACATGCTTAGCAAGTCGTGCTGACGCGAACACATCCTAGATACGCTATGTTGGGATAGGATATGTTATGTATGTGAAAGGCTAGAAAATTGACATTGTGCTGATTACCGATTCTCACAATCAGCCTCAAGATGCTGAGTATGTCATCTTATATTCACTGTGTTCGCTTCCTCTGACTGGCGGCGTACAGCTAATGTTCCGACAATTTCAATTACAAGTTCAGTGAGTTCTCCGCGCCGATGACTTCTATGCCCACTGAACTTCCATGTAGGGGCGAGTGAGATTCTTGACCAACGTGTCGGTTCAATATAACGACTGCTACAGTTGTGAGTTTGTTTTGAGCGTACGATCTTCCCAGGCTGATGACTAATATTGTGTTGTATTTTTAAGGTCGTATCATGTACATTACACTGGAAAGCACAAATGAGGTCGTATATGTAATGTTGGGCGGTAAGCTATACACCTCTGTGATGCATTGACTTGACCAAAACATCATGCAAGTCATCTTGATCGCTCGGCTGAATGCAATGTATCAGCGATCCAGAAAGATGCTGGTGTTCCTTGTTGTCATCTTTCTGGCCATCAGAATCGCCAATGCAGTGATGGCCGCGATGTCCTTGATACATATTTCCGTGGGTAAGCCTCAATTATAGACTCGAGACTCGGTTGCATCACGCTCATTGACAAATACCAGAGGAAGTGGTTCTCTCCGGCACCTATGGGTGCAAGGTTGATTATGTGGAAAATACCGTACTTCTATATGCCATCACCTGGGTACTCGCCATTGGATTGGAGCTCCTTCTGTTGGGTCTCACACTCTGGATTGCTGTAAAGCACTTGTGTGAACTGCGACGACACTCAACAAGAGGTGTTATTGGGGACTGTTTCACGGTGTTGGTGAAAACTCACCTGTGTTATTTTGCGAGGTGAGCTCATAATGTGAAGGTAGTTCCCTTTTCCGCTGAAATTCTGCACATGCCAGTTTTGTTGTAGTTTCTTGCTTCTACGTCGGGTTTTCTTCTCCGACGCTCTCAGGGGTATGTCGATTTGTTGTCGATCTTCACATGTGGCTACAATTCACCACCCTCATAGAACCTAAGTTCTGTGGAAACTGAATTTTATCTTGGTGTAGCCCAAATCTTCCATTTCGCGCAGTTGTTTGTGCTGGGACCACGCCTGATTCTTAGCGTTCGAAGTCATCATGCCGAGGACCCAGTTGGCTCTGAGTCGGACACAATGACCACTATTGCTTTCTCGAAGCGCGTCCCCTTGTCGACTAACGGCAGCGGGGAGATACTCTAATTGATATACAATGAATGGGTAGTCTGTAGGGAGGGTATTTATCTTGATGTATTCTGAGTCTCGTCGTGGTACTTATCTACTGTACATGTGTAACATGCTTGTTCAATGTTGTCGCCGTTATTCAAATTAGTTGGCGTTGTGAAGTAGACGTTTGCGATCCTGTGATCAGTGCTGTATATCAACACGTTTGTTGGACTGCCTGAGCTGGACGTGTGATATATATGCTATGCTACGCAGTAGTACTAATGACATAAGGTAAGAATAAGAAGTAGTGGCAAGCGCGTAACTAATACAAAAGGGGCGACAATGGCAAGTAAACATATACTCATTTAATAACCGAATCTCCAACACATATATAGGTATTTGGAACAGTCATCCTGCGATGATAGTGACTTTCCCGATATACTCAGGAGGGGCGTGGTCGTAGACTCAGCCCACTTGTGACGACTCCGCGGACCTGCGCGGACAGTTGTTTGATGTGAAGAGCCCGGACCACGTCGTCCAGGAGGGCTCTGAAAGGTGACGTAGAATGGCCACCTCCAGACGACCGCTGCGGCAGCTCTCCTGCATCGGAGGCGCGATACTGCGCCATGATCCGGAAGATATGTTCGCGGGACTCATCGAGGTATTTGTCGTGACTCAAAGTGATGCAAGTATGTTTGGCGATGGAGTTCAGTTGAGTCCGAAACGTCGACGAATTTTCGGACCACCATCTGTCGATAGTATGAGTAGCAGGACTGGGCTGCTGCTCCTCGAAGTGAGTGACAACGAGTACGACGGGCACTTTTCTTCCGTTCAATTCGCCCTGGATTTTGTTGTGAATGTCGAGCACCGCTTGCACACGAAAATTTCTACTCGGCACGCAAAGCAGTATCAAGTCAATACTGCCTTGACCGGATATTTCTCCGATCTGCCGTTTTTCATGCTTCTTTGGCCGTTCCTTGGGCACAGAGGAAGGACCGTTACTGCATGCAAACCCAACAGTATCAAACACCCTATATGCGGTGTCGCGAAAAGACATCGGGTATTCCTTCAACTCTCCCGTGCAGCGTCCGGCGTCGATCGATGTACCCGCGACACTTTTCCTAGATAAGAGATTGACAAGGGAGCTTTTCCCAGAACCAACGGCCCCGGCAATGACGACAGTACACTGGACTCATCAGTTAGTGACACATGCCGTCTGAAACTAAAAGTATAAGATACCTTTCTGGTCGACGAATCGACGAGGACAGGTGAGTCGTTGCTATCTGGCATCGAGGTGGTTGACAATAGAGGTGATAGCTGCGCCACGGTGGACGTATTGCCAATTCGTGAAGAGGTGCCTTCATGTGCATCAGCTGGTTGCGACACCTGCGTGTAACGCCACACATGTCGATGAGATTAGTATTTGAGAAGTAGTTGTGATTGACAGAACTCACTGAGCGGGTTGAGTATGACGATGGAGAAGGGGAGACGGAAGGAGAGTTGCCGTCTCCTTGAGGGTGTAGATGACTGATTACATCTACGATTGGTTCTTGGATGTGGCTTGGTATCTCCGGATCCAGCTTGTGCAGGGTGACCGAAGGGGTTGTCTGCGACGTCTGTGTGTAAAGCCACACATGTCACATTTGATTAGTATTTGGGAAATATTTGTAATCGACAGGACTCACTAAGCAGGTTGAGTATGACGACGCAGAAGGGGTGTTGGTAGGAGTGTTGCCGTCACCTCGGGGATGTAAATAACCGACTGCATTTGCAATTGGTTCTTGGATGTGGCTTGGTATCTCCGTATCTAGCTTGTGCAAGACGATAGTGGGGATATCTCTATTTGATGCCTTTGTCATTGACTGCCGGATGGGAGCTTCAATACGTAGCTCCTCTTCGATAAAAACCACGGCATCTTGACTTGATGGCCTGCTGCCAACTTCGACTGAAGTACACTTGCAGATAAACTGTTTGCGCTCTTTAGAAAGATGGTCGTGGGAAGGAAAGGGCATCGACTTCTTCGCGTGATGAGCCCCGACAATAGCTAGATTACTATAGACATAGGTGTACCATGGAAGCTTTTCTGTGAAGACCTTTCCAGCAGTCGGTGAGCTCCTCGTTAAGACGGCAATAGTCGAGAAGCGCCTACATTAAGCATTACACAGCCAAGAGAATAAATGTCGCTGGGTACATTCGGTATTAATACCGGCGGCTCATTGTCGACCGCTGAATCCATTCCGGTAGGTTGGCTTGTCGCCTCTTCTGCCCCCAACAGTTCTGGTGCAGCAAATCGCACTGCCCCTGGTCGTGCTACGGAGAGTGAGAGGCAACTACCAGCCATGCCGCCAAGCACATTCGATAACCCGAAGTCGATTAACAATGCTTTTCCACTTTCATCAAGGACAACATTAGTCTGACAGAAAAGGGTGCTTAATGTTATATGTCTTGTATAACAGACACGCCTCTTACAGTTGTGAGGTCGCCATGGACAATCTTTCGAGAGTGTACTGCAAAAGCCTGGTTATATACAACAGGATGAGTGATAAAATGATAACGAACGATATGCCAAGCCAATAGTAACATCTTTGATCTGCGAGATATTTGAACAGGTTGTGTAGTGGAACAAAGAAATACGCACCAAAGTCAGTTTTTTCCTGCAAGGTATGTTTCCTTCATGATCCCGGAGATAGAGTGCAAGTGTCCCGCCTCCCATCCAGGGAGAGACCATGGCGAAGCCCTCTTCTGTAAATCCCTCCGCAATACCGAACAAAGGGACGATATTTTCATGTCTTGCTGCCATCCATAATTTCATCTCACGGCATGCACGCTACAGTTAGACGTTATCAACAATGTTTCGTGTAAGAAATGAAAGTAAAGGTCAACCTTCTTGGAAACATGTATCAGGACCTTGACGGCCACCTGCGAAATGTGAATACCAAAGGCGGTGTCGATAATGAATAAACCTACCAAAGCCTCTGGCGCCTCTGCCCGCTGCATTATGCACTGAAAAACCTGTCCATAGCCCCCCACAGCTGCCGGAAATTCCTTCACTTTGATGAGCTGTTTCCTCGGAATGATGGGACACTCGATAGTAGATGCGGAAGCCATCGAGTGCTACGACGGGCTACGGCAAGGAGAGAGCGCAGTCCGAGTGGTAAGATCCCGATATCAGAATTCGACGAACATCGAAGGAGCCAGGATATATATAAACTGAGGTGAAGACCGTAAGGCGCCACTTGCTGTAGTAAGATGGACTTTGAAACAATCCACCGTCACCATCATGATGCATCGTTGTTGATTAGCGGTCATATCGACAGACAATGCAAGACAAGCTGAAGCTATTTGATTAATTCCAGGGCACGCTATATACCTCATGCATTCCATGTACTTGGCCATAATTTAGTAGCCTGACAAAGCTTGAATTCATAACACGAGGATAAATACCTACATGGGCCTGTACCGGCTACAATACTTCTGCCGTCATAAGCGCCGGCAAGAGAGTCAGGCGGTAGTGAGACGTTCGCAAACGTCACAAGACTTCTCTAGCTGAACGTTCCACCCGTGTCCCATCACGGTATCAGTCTGCCACCAACTTGAAGGGTCAGAGGTCCATTTGCCTCAAGGTTTTGAAGGGGCTTGGGCTGCGATTCGGGCAGTGTAGAAAAGACACTCGTCCAGAGTGGCTTGCGCCTGATAGAAGGGCCAATTATGAAAAGAACTTGGTGCTGCCTTCCGCATACACTATAGGATCAAGATGGAATCTGTGGCTCAGTCCAGCATTCCTGTACAGAAGCAAAGTTTTACCCGTTACGGATTACTCGCCGGGAATTACCGGCACGCAACTTGAACAGTGCTTGCCGGCTGAAAATCCAAGTTGTTGTGCCGAGCCTACCTCAGAAAAAAACTCAAGATATCTTTGTCCAATTGTATGTGCAGCTATAGTACTAGTCATACCCGTCGCCTCGTGAGCTAAAAAAATGGCTCAGCGCAATTGACTTCTTCAGTTCTCGAAGCCGTGCTCACCAGCATGGAATGTGACGCCATCCAAGTACCCGGCGAACAACTTGAACGCCTACGGGTTCTCTGATGTCAGTCACTGTGATACTGGCGCCACCTGTACAGTGCAGACTCAGCATGTCCAGTGGCTTCGGACCAGTACCCTCAAATCGCACAATTGAAATGTAACGGCCGTGCTCGAGTCAATTGTCCTTCACGGTTAGTGGTGATAGGGTCCGATCGTCTGACTGACATGCAGTCGTGCCTGTTGTGTTTGTCACTCAAAGACGCATACTGTCTGCACAGGACCCTGTCAATACGCATGCTTAGGTGAATCTCTCTGCAAGCAAGAGTTCAAGGAAACCCTGCAACTGCAAGACGGAGAACAGGGGCCCAACTTGCATCCGGCAGATCTAGAAGGCACTGTTGGCTCCCCATGCACAGGATGGGCTAATGTCTTATTCCTGGTCGAACGCCATGACCAAAAAGTAGGGTCAGTCTTTTGTAATCTGCTCGGTCGACAAACTAGGCCTAAAGAGCCCGAGTCATTTAGTAAATTTTGATTTGTCATGCTCTAGCCTGAGCCTCTGTCGTCTTCATATTCAATGAACTCTGAATATTGGCAGTTTTTGTCAGTCAATCAAAGCATGGATTTTGCGACCCACAAACCCTTGATTCAAGTTAAACTCGGACTCGGACACAACCAATGCGGTAATTCTGGCAGCCCTTCAAGTTTTTATTGAATCCCGCTTTTTACTTTAGAGTGGAGTCCTTTGCAGGATATATGACCGGACATTTTCTCGTCATAAGTTTTCTTCCGTTAAACCCCTTCATTTTTGTTCTAGACTAACCTAATGTTGACAGCACATACAATATAATAATACGAAGTGAGTGTAATTGAGAGCAGTAAGCGGCCCTGATTGTATTGAACTCAATGTACTGCAATCACTAAAATCCGCATCAGGATATAAGCTAATATATGCTTTTATGGGTTATGCATAACCTCATGTATCAGGTAAGACGAGATAGCTGCCCTCCTTTTATTGGTCGACCAAGGGAGACTGTATTAGTAGTTAGTAACGGTGTGTACGGGAACTGTCACATCCTAAATTTTTCATTTGAGTTGAATGGATGACCTGACACCAAAAGCGTAATTAGCACCTGAGACGCTGTGAGTATCCATCAAGGCGCCTCGAAACCGTGCCATACCAATAAGCGACCTTGCTCTTGACGCACGTTCAATAATGACGCGCGAGAAGTACCCTGACAAACACACCCTAACCTCGCTGAAACTTTGTATGCGCATGCACACACCCAACTATCAGCAGGCCCATAACCACACTACGTGACGCTGGGCTTCTCGTTGCCGACACTACACATGTGCGCAAGCCTCCAGGTTAGCTCCCACTTTCACCCCTTGAACACATTTCTGTTGTTCAAAGAATATCACGTCTCAGTGCGAATTGCGTACGAATAAGAGGTACCGGCGCAAAGCAGCTTTGATTCGACTTTGGAGGAAATGTCCTCAGTGAGATGGTATGGATATTTGGTTAATACTGACATACCACACGTGTTGCATTGTCTTCCTTCGCATCTTAATCCCAACAAGTCAGACGTCATTAGCCTCTCACGGAAAACGGACCTCTCAAATACAACCACGCGCTCAAGAAATTTGTTAATCAAGTCGATGTTTGCGGTACCTGCAACGTCGCTGAGGTGCACCTTTTAAATCATTAAGACCGCTGGTTCTAAAACAGCCTCCTTAGCCCACTCGAAACATTATTCATTTCCAATTTGAGGTAGATATTTGAGTAGAAATATCAAAAACATGTTCAAGTCTAAACGGGGAACAAGCCTAGTTCCTCAGCCAGAAACCCCAAGGTTGAAGGACGGGACGAGGAGTGAATATGGTGAGATATTAGTTTGTTACGGCCTGTCTATTTGTGAAACCGTGACCATTCCACGTATTCCACGTCCAGCTGACGAACGAGGGACCAGCCCCTGCGGGATTAACAAAGATAGACGTTTCAATCGCATACGACATATAAACGGTCAAATCATCTTCAAGGACTGACACATGTAAAAGCCCCAGCAGGGCCGGGGGTTCCCCACGCTGGGACACAGGGGCCCGGACACTGGAGACTGTTGTCCTACATAGGGTACAAGGACAGAAATTTGATTCCGAAAAAGTACCTACGGTAAGCGTTAAACGGCATGCCGCAGGAGCACATACATATATACTACCGCCACTAAATAATAGCACGGTCCGAGAACCACGCTGTCAGCGCAGCACCTGAGGCAGGTTTGTGATGACATCATCCCGACGACTAGTATGAGCTCAAGCTCCACAAAGACGAGGACTGCGTTTCTACTGTTGATTAAATTTCGTAAGCAAAAATCGCACCGAGCACAGAGCCTGAAGAGAAAATTCTCAGGAGAATTTTATCGGTAGATGATATGAAGATGGTGTACATAGTGCAGTGGCATAGCAGTAAAGCTCAAAGTAGCCCTGCCTAGATGACACAAGAACTGGCTGATGAGCCCGCTGTGCACCGTTTCGCGTCATAATTTCCGTCTGATGTCATACCTCTTTATTCAGTGTCGATAATGTGATGCGGTAGTCGATGTTCCAAGTCGCAAGGACGCAGGTGCTCCGATTTCTGGTGACAAAGTTTCCCATCCTCGTCAACAGCTTGAACAGTGTCCCTCCTGTATAGATCTACGGTGGGGGCGCCCGCTCGCGGAGTAATTTTAATTTGATCTCACATCTGTGTAGATACTAGCTGATGCCATACGAAGCTATGAGGGCCGGGTTGTGCGATGATCGGTCCGAGAGTAATTGGCTGTTCGTATGATGTACATTTGAATCCGTGTCACTCGGGATCAAGGCCGACTATGTGTACGAGTACGACACATAAGTAGGCTTTAGAAGCTGCAAGACAAGTGCCTGTTGCAGGGACGCTGGCACCCGGACTGATATATCCCCTTCTTCTCGCGCTCACGGGTACAGATACCACTGAAGGGGGCCACCCTGGGGACCTTACCGGTGACTCTGACAGCGTGTTGCCGCTGTCAATTTCATTGGCGCTCAACGACTGTTTTAATGACATCATCACGAGGTTTCGCGGGAGTGGGTGTCGAGAAAGGGTGAGTAGATTTGGGTTGATATGGGTAGATGAAAAAAGTGCTTCAATTGGATAGAGATAGCCCTGGGTAGATGATACCATCGGAAAGTCATCAGCGATATAGGTAGGAGTGACTAGGATAAAATTTGAAGTCAATGAATTTCGTAGGTGAAAATCAGGAACATCGGAGTTTGAAAACTTCTTGCCACGTGGGTGTATATGTTCTTCAAGGATTGTCAAGCAACTGCCTTCTCCGGTGAACATGTCATCTTCATTGGGTTTACATATTGTAGACCCAAAAATTTTAAGCGATCAAGTAGGAGATGCGTGAGTTCTCAATCATTCTGCTACTAGGAGAAGGTTAATAACGGATAATAATCAGTTCTTCAATCATACCACCCATGTCTCTCACAGCTCCACCTTCTCGACATAAACCTACAATGTCATCCATCTCCCAAGATAATCTTTATTCTAATCTCGCAACTTTCACTTTCGGTGAAGCTCGCTCAACTTCATCAGGCGACGAGTCATCAGACGCAATCAGCCCACTCACTCCAATAACACGCCCAGGCGCTGATAGAACCCCTCGTCCATCCGTTTCAACTTTTAGCAGTCATCCTTCACAGGGTCTAGGACGCACAGTTTCAAGTACCTTTCCATCATCTTTACGCTCTTCAAGATCATACAGAACAGAACACACAGATGAAGAAAGCAGTGAAGATCCTTCATCGCCCGATCTCTACCCGAGACGCGGCTTCCAAAGAGGTCGTCTGATCTCAGACAACGTCAGCCAGCACACATTCGGTCATCCAGCAGTACGCGGCTCAACCGCCTCAATCACTTCCTCCCGTTCAAGCTCACGTCTAAGTCTTCGCTCAGACCTTCAGTTTAGCAGTGACGAGGAAGTAGAGATCGCTTCATACGACGGAGGCTCCTCACCTGTCACTTTCGCCCGTGACCTCGATAACATCGACGAGAATGAGAATAGCCCTGTCTTCCATCCTCGTCCCCTCTTCGCGGAGCGCCGTCGTGGCAGCCTCCCAATGGCAATCCCAGGCGCCATATCAGATGCAGTCAGCAATCGCAGCCGTGAAGACAGCATCCTTACCATCCGTCGTCCATCTCGCAGTCTCGACGACGATCTCATGCCTTTCCACAGCGAAGAAGATCCAGCTGCTGTCGCACCACGCAGCGAACCCCTCACCCGCGCTGATTTTCGTTCACTCGAGGCCCAGGCGCAACAGCAGCAGTCAGAACCAGATACATGGGAATCCGGCTGGGATCTGTCCTATGTTCTCTCGAGAAAGAGTGAAGGAAGCATTCATTCCGTCCGATCGACCGCTCAGCTCTCCTTTCTCGCTCCTGCACGGAACAGCACCAGCATAGGCGAACCCTCCTCTCGTCTCTCCAACATGTGGGGCAATAGCGGACGCCGTACCAGCACCGGCACACTTCAAACCACCAATAGTGGCGAAGATACCTTTGCCAAGCACATCGGCATGTACGACACTCAAAACCAGTGGGCTTTTTGTAAGGAAAAAGCAGACGCTCAGACCGTCCCCACCATACGCCGTCCGAATGCCCAGGCAGGCGCCTTAGTAATTATGGACAAGGTAAAACATACCATGCACCCCGGCACACAAGAGATATGGAGGAGCGGGAACGTCGGTCGATTTCGAGTCGACAGACTTGTCTTCAAACGTATGTCCTTTTTACGTCCTCGTCATATATACTGAGATCCTGCTACCAGCATCCACAGCAGACCCTGCCAAAGCCGCCCAACAACGCATCAACATTCGGCATATCCCCGATCCCTTCATCAAGGGTCCAAAGACAGGCGGTCCGAGCACCGTCATCCACAAACATTCTCGCGCAACTGCATTCTCCATATTTCGCTCTTATTCGCTTTTTACGTCTAAACGCGCTGGGCCTGGATCTCGCAATATCCATATGCATACAAGTGGGGGAATCATGCTCGCGCCGAAGAAAGTGCAAGAACAATATACGAGTACGAAAACGACAAGTAAACTCATTACACATGGGTTACTCGAGGATAGATCTCGCAAAGCCATCGGCAACGGAAGCAGTGATAAATCACGTCGTGGTACTCTTCTTGAAAAGGAAAAACGGCGGGAGAAGGACAAAGAAGACGCAAAGAAAGCAAAGGGGAAAGCCAAGGAAAAGAAGAAAGAATCGAAGAAGAATAATGACCGTGACCGCGCGAGTAATCCGACAGAGAGTACGGAGTCGAGCGCAACGACGAGTAGTACGGGGAGCATCTGCGCTTCTCCTGTGACATCTGCCCCTGTGCGAGCTACGACGTCCAAGATCATGTTTGCGCCTTCGATCGTGCCCCCTAGGTCCCCTACAAAGACTCAGTCTACGAGCGGGCCGTCATCACCAGATACCTCATCAACATTCGATCACTCCTCCAAGAAACTCCTGCAGTCTGAATCCTCGGCAAGCGTAGCGACCTCGCACATCCGTGGCCATCGGGACAGCATCGACTCTGACGAACACCTTCCCACACGTACGCCGCACGCCGAAGCCTTCGGCACCCTCGACCCCAACGACATCGAGCATCTCCGGCGCGCCCAAAAGCCCACTGACGGCAGCAGCAGCTTCGCGAACCGCATATTCCGACGCTTCCGCGGTACTAACCGAGTAGACAACATCACTCAACCAGTTGCAACACCCCAAAGCGCGTATAGTCCTCCATGGATCGTCACCGCTGGCAGAGACCAGAATGAGGAACATGTACGTGTGCTCACGGATCTGAATAATTCGTTTAGGGATGTTGGGTTGTTGCATACGCAACCGAGTCATAAGACGGGGAAGAGTACGGGAACGGGAACAGGAACAGCGAAGAAGAAAGCGGTGACACACGATATTTTTGACTATGTCCCAGAGGACTCGCTTTATATGCTTCTGCCACTTTGGGCAGGGGAGACAGATCCGGGTGTTGGGGGTGGGAGCATCATGACGGGGAGTAGCGTGGTGGGGATTGGCAGCATCAGCGATGGTAGCACCGCCTCCACCTCCACGACTGCATCGGCCGCTACGACAGCCACAAGCGCCACACTCGTCACAATCCCCGAAGACCGCCAATTCCTCCTCGTTTGGTACGTCCCCTTCGAAGACAAGAACAAAAATTCTCCCTCCTCTAATTCCAACTCCAACTCCGCGTCCGCATCTGCCAACAAGAAAAAAGTGAAACAAATGCATTCGACGAGCGACACTAACATCGAATCCAACCAAAAGAATGTTTATTTGAGAAATTTTCGGGTTAATGCGCGGTTGGTGGGGTATGATGAACTGAGGGGGACGGGGATTAGGGTGCCTAGTGATGGGTTGGCGATTGCGGGGCCTACTTTGGATGTTGGGGTACGGACTCGGGAGGAACCAGAATCACAGCTGGGACTGGGTCAGACTCAACTCGGACCACAGTCGGAGACGTCGACAGCACTAGGACTGGGAATCGAAACCGTCATCTGCATGTGCAGCTCGCGCGAAAACGGGTTTCATTTCCAACCTGAAGGACTGAGCAGGCTTGGGTTGTGTCTCCAAGAAGAGGTGGCGCTGCCTGCTGCTAATAACCCTCGGGCTGTTTATCTGGAGATTCCGACGTCGGAGATGAGGCATTTGTTGACGCCGGTTGGGAGGGCTGCTGTTGAGATGGTTTGGTTGGGGTGTTTGGCTATCACCAGTTTTGGGCCGTATTGAGGTGGGAGTGTATTTTTTTTCCTTGTATCGTTCTGTATCCGCGTGTCCTAGGGGCTGGATTTATTTATATTCCCCTTCATCTGCATCTTCCTTTCCCTTTTCCACTCCATCTGAATCCTTATATCCTTGTCTCAAGTATCGTTCTGATTTTTTTATCCTTGATCATCCCCCCCAACTGTCTCCATATACAATCTCACCGCATCATCATACCATGATTTCCCTAGATTCTTTAGTTGTATACTATCATACAGATACTATGGCTATGGCTAAGCATTCATTCATCCAGTTTTGCTTCTTGCTTCTGAGCTAGTGCATACTTATATTGCTATTTTTCGTGTTCGCCTACTTACATAGAGCGGCTCTACGACGGTACTGGAGGTTGTCTACGGGGCTGTTATGGTGCTGGAGATCGTCTGCAATACCGCCTTTTTGAAGATCATAGATGATACTTTTGATGATATTTAATCACTTTGTATACCTACTTACTTGGTTTTTTTTGCAATTGTATGCATGGAATGGATTGAGGTTGATTGTATGTGATGGATGTCGACTTTGGCGTTTTAGTCAATCGTGGGAGATTTGTGCTCCGAGTCCTTTCTTTGACTTATACTTTAAATTTAATTCCTGGACTGCTGAGGCTGCTGGTCGCGCTCAACTCCAGTACACTATCGCCTTTTCCATCCCATGCGGCATGCTAAACGCCTAGCGTCTCCCAATTGTGCTGTCTGTCAGAGCGACAGGACTTGATCTGTGAGGAAACCTTTTGAGTTAAGCAAGACAACGAAAGTCACTTGCAATCGTTTAGGAGAGGGCCGCCAAAGTCGTCTATATGATACAAATGTAGAATGCAAACAAGTGTCTAAACTCTATGGTGAGTGCTGCTATTAAATAATTCCGAATAACAATATTCTGATGAACCACCCGGGTACGCCAGATCTTCGACTTCTAAATTCGACCGAAATCCCAGTCCTCCAGCAGGCAGCACATCTTCGTTTGAAGGTCGCATTGTCTAAACTGCCAGCTGATCTCAAAACGTTGGTGGCGGAGGTGGCGAATACAGTCCCACACCCAGTTCTGGGAGTTCCAGCGGGGATCGTGACGCGTGATCGGCACGCTTGCGAGATGACTCTCGAACAAAGCCAGCTTATGGGCGGCTACTCTTCCAATAGTAAAACTTCCGCGCCAGTCATCGGGATTCACGTGTGGCTGGTTGCGTCTGAACTCCATGGTGTAGGTATTTGTGTTTCCTATGATGTGGTACATGTTCCCAATACCAGGACCCGTCGGGATATAGATAACCCAGTGAAGGGGATAAGGCCGAAGGTACTCTTTCTGGCCTCGCCAAAACTGGACGACTTCGACGTTGTAATACATAGCTGGGGCAGACATATTTGGAGATGACTATGGGACTTGGTCAGTTCTGTTCGCCGAGTTTCGTATTCTGTGTACTCACCAAAAGGGCAGACGAAGGAGAGGTGAGGAATGGGTGAGTTTGAGTTTCGAGCTCATCGATGACCTGGATTTATATCCAAACGGTTGTGGAGTTTGGTTTCGGGGACAATGAAGTGTGGACACGACATCGAGCACGACACGTCCACCATTTCCCGAAGAGAGTATGTTGTGCTTTGGTGAACCACAGATCGAGTGATTCACAATGACTTCGCCACATTCAAAACTGCAGGTGGATGCTTACTACGCTGTGTCATTGTCACCAATCATCCTGTGATGGAAGACATCAAAGCTTAACGTGATTTATTGTACCACACGCAATTGTTCTAGGCCTCGAGACAGACTCCGTGCGGTGGCTCGTTGAAGCCCTTTGTAATGGCATTCTTATGTTTTGTCAATCAATAAACTATCTGTACCACACAGATTCACATACTCAAATTAAGGGATCGAACCACCCAGACTTTCATTTGAACAGTCAAGGTGCAGGAGGAGCTCACGTGTTTGTTGGACATCAGCTGTGGGTACGAGAATCACTTGAACTTGTTTCAAGAAAACTATATAATACTTTATACCGACACGACAGAGTATAAGTTCGGCACTGCAAATGTTTAGAGCTGCATATACAGCCTATAGGCCTCATCCAAGTACCCTACTGCTCGAACATGGTTTCAAAGTAAATGTCAGGAGGGACGGAGCACGAGTGCAGCTAGATGAAGCTCCCCCGTCCAGGTCAGATGAGGCGGCACATTTTGCAAATCCGGTTGGAAGACTGGTGGCAAGGTCGTTAATAACGTGAATCAGAGAGAATGGCCAGGGGGACGCAGTGCGAGCGCTGCCCGGTAGAACTCGATGGCCTCATCCAAGTTAGACAGAGCGCCCTGCTGCTTAAATTTGTCACAAAGGCTGACGGCAAGGTTGTTCATATGTTGGATCGAAGAGCATGGTGAGGTGGACAGAATATGAGTGCAGGTCTGTGGAGCTCGATGGCATCTTCCAGTTCAGACAGGGTTCCGTGCCACTGAAATCGGTCACGAAGGCTGGTGACAAGGTTGTTGATATATTCCAATTGAGGAATATGGACAAGGGGACACAGTGCTAGGGTGGCAACGTGGAGCTTGATGGCCTCATCCAGGTCAGACGGGGAGCCCCGCCGCCTCCATCTGTCATGAAGGCTGATGGTAAGTTTGTTGAGAGTCGTGGATCGACCAGGGTGACCAGGGGAACGCAATGGAAGTACAACTCTGTAAAGCTCGATGGCCTCACCCAGGTCAGACAGGGCACCCTGTTGCTTGAGTCTGGCTTGGAGACTGATGGCCAGATTATTCAGATACATTGACTGATCAGAAGAGCCAGAAAGACCCTCCTGCAAGATCGCTGAGTCGTCATCGCTTGACATCATCTGCCATGCTTTGTACTGAAAATCATAAAGTTCAATAGATAGGGCAACGAATATCGAAGCAGGATTGAGCGGCGCGAAGTTATCTAGATGAGATTACAAGAACACAAGCTCAAGGTCGAGCGTCTGGCTAATGAGCACAAAGCTGAGGATGATCGGAGCGCTACGCACAGAATAGCGATACAGCAGCTGTCGTGTCTGGATATGGTTATGCTCTGTAGAGTACGCTGGCATCAGGAATATTCAAAGAGGAACGGAGGAACAATGGTGACAATATTATCTGCACCAAGGAGACGCAGGCCGACAATCAGCTCGACATTGCGGGTCTTCACCCTCACCAATTCGTCGATATCGGAAGTTCATTCAGCCTTGGAGAATCTGCACTTTCCATCGATTGATGGGAGGACAACTGACGTAACGTGCTTGTTTTATTTGTGTGGGAGTTGGCGTTATGGCGCTCAGCGAGTCCGTTCACTGACAAAGTTTTTGTGTGGATGTCCAATGAAGTGGAGTGAAAAGGGCCTTGCGAGGTTGGTTGTATATAGTCCTTGGCATGAGGGTTCTGCTTGCATGAAAGTCCGTGCGCAAGCACTCCGCCTTAGTCAGCTGCTAATTTCTGTCCATTGATTTCAAGTTAACACGCGCATAACCGTTACGCTGAAATCTGGAACACTTACCTTTCATGTACGTACAGTACTGAGTATGGGACTCAGGTAAACCAGCGTGGTCACAGCAGGCTGTTCAAATCTTTTTCCTTGGAAGGCAAAGTACTGACAAATTTTTTAAAATAGCCTGTTCACTGTGTGTCTGACTTCAAGTGGCATCGCGTCACTGCAGCCCAAGCCTGAAAGCTTGAAGCTTGAATTTCCAGATCTATTGCTGTCGATTCGGATCACTGCGGGTCAAACTGAAATAATGGGGCCATTAATCCTGGTCTACCCGTCGCGTCTTGCTAGCAGCGCTTCGCTCATATTGAAGGAATGCAAATTACTATGTACTTCATCGTCGCCTCCTTCGCCCGACTCACACGTGGGAGACACGCAAGTGCCCATTTCCAACTGGCAATACAAAGGAATGGGACGTCATCCTTTCACGCATCATTTCTGTCTGTCAGAGCGACAAAAATTGAGTGGATCTTGAGTCTTTATTCAGTCAGGATAATGAAGGGCACTCACGATCACCCAAGATGTCTATGATGTTAATGATGATTCACATGGCAATTACAATGTCTTGAATTTATGGCAAGTGCTCCCAATGACTCTGAATAAGAACATTTAATACTTGATTAACCACTCGGGCAAGCCAGATCTCCACCTCTAAATTCGACCGAAATCCCAGTCCTCCAACAGGCAGCACATCCTTGTTTGAAGGTCGCATTGTCTAAGCTCCCAGCTGATCTCAAAATGTTGATGGCGGAGGCGGCGAAGACCGTCCCACACCCAGTTCTGGCTGTTCCATCGGGGGTCGTTACGCATAATCGGAACGCTCGCGAGGTTCCATTCGAAAAGGGCCAGCTTACTTGCAGCCACTCTTCCCATGGTGTGGCTTCCGCGCCAGTCATCAGGGTTGACATGTGGCTGGTTACGCCTGAACTCCACGGTGTAGGTCTCTGTGTCTCCCAGGAGGTGGTACGTGTTTCCGACACCAGGACCAGTTGGGACGTAGATGACCCAGTGAAGGGGATGGGGCCGAAGGTACTCTATCTCGCCTCGCCAGAACTGGATAACTTCGACGTTATAGTATGTTTCTTCGGCAGACATATCAAGATATGGCTCTGGAAGTAGGTCAGTTGCAGTCGGTTGAGTTTCTTATTTCATGTTCTTACCAAGAGAGCAGACGACGGAAATCACAAGCAGGTGGGTTCAAGGTTCAAGCCCATAGACTACCTGGATTTATATTCAAGCTGCTGTGGATTTTGTCTCGGGAACATCCTCGAATTGTGGAACGTGACTTGACCGTTGTTATTCCAACAGAGTATGGTGTACGGTGCGAGTGGATCACTGATTTCCTTCCCCGATGAGCCACATCTAACCCACAATAGCCGATTCAGTTCGAAAGCAGAGGCTAGGCCGCAAGTTCACGCCCTCCTTTAACTCGACTCATCGCATGATGGACTAGATCAAAAATTGATATGATGCATCTATGATTCATAATACTGTATGCAAGTGTTCTAGGCTTCTAGGATTTTGAGATTGTGGACGTGGACCTCGAAGGATATTTCTGGCTCGTTGGAACTCGTGACATTTTTTGTTTCGCGAATGTGGAGATCGGTTAAGCCACCCAGATCGTGTTAGTCCAGCGGAGAGTTACGATGCAGGAGAGTTTGTTGTCCTAGCGTTGTCTTTGACTTGCAAAAAAAAACTACTTGGTATATACAACATACACAAGGACTTCATATACGAATGCGTGTGCTAAACTCAGGCGCGAACACTAAATACAGACGAGGTTATTAACCAGTCTTTTGATGCAATCATGGAATATGCAGCCTTAGAAGGGTTTTACACGCATTAATACTATATGGTCCGAAGGCAAAATCCACCTGAACAGTCGGTAGTGTACATGGTATACATGAGGTGATATGAAGGGATCAGTTCGCCCCGCAGATAGATAGTTCCCTCATTTCCTGTAAGACCGCCTCGACCTGACCATCACCAATGAGCAAAGGGCGTACACGTAACAGCTGATCATACCTGCGCATCCAGCTGACCTGCAGCATAATCATCTCGCACATTGTCAGGAAAATACCTGATCATAGCATAAGCCAGATCCCTATCCATCATTTCCCGAACCCCAAAACTCACCTCTGTACAGCGCTCATCTTCTCATATCCTTCCTCAGCAAACTTACATTGCATGCGAATCATAGCTTCAAAACTGGGATCGAAATATGGTATGCGCAGATCCAAGAGCTGCGGAAGCTCTGAGATGAGCTGATCGTTCATAAGCTCGAAAACCTCTTTCGCATCGTCGTGTTCTTGTTGTGCTTTTGGAAGCTTTGTTGGGTCTTCACTTGGTTTCTCGATTACCTTTCGTAGTTTGCTACGTGCCGCGTCAAAGTCCAGGAGCTAAAAAACTGTTCAGTCGAATCACTCAGGGCCCCCAATCAATAGCAGGAAGCATCACCTTTTTGTTACGTTTGGTGATATGCTCGTTCACGACGGGGAAGTATGCGTTCATCTTCCCGAGGGGTTCCATGATGGTCGTACGATAGGGACCTTCCTGTGGAAGATATTAGATAAATGGAATCACCAGAAGCAAGTATCACTTACAAGTTCCCTCTGAATGCCCCCATCAAGCTCCTCCACTGCGCTCTTGAAAGCGTGACTTGCCATAGCACCATCTGATGAGCGATCTGCAGCGCCGTAGAAGGTCTCGATGGTCTCAGCCAACCGCGCCTGTGTGGTTGTCATCGCTGTGGCACTATTTCAGCATATTACATGACACACCGAGGCCAGATAACTTACAGCGCATGGCATCCTGATATTGTTTAGCGTCCTTCTGCAATGCTTGACACTCCTTCTCGAAGCTGGTGCAAGTCAAATGACAAGGAGGAGACGGACTGTTGATGCACGTACGCTCTGTACTTGGATTCTTCATCTGCAAATTCACGGTCTATTGTACGTTCGATCTGTCCGGTCTTTTGCAAGACCTAAGCGGTTTAAACGAGTCATGAGTAACTCCGCATAGGATGGAAGATATGTTCCTACCGTGGTACCCGCCCTATTCAGCGACTTCTTGAACCTAGTGGATATCAGATCTCGATAAGCTACATCAAAGTAGGAAACAGACCCTGTCCAGCTCATGGTACTTAGTGATATCACCCAAAAGAAGTTGTCGTTGGAATGACAAGTGTTTGTTGATCAAGGACACTCACTGCGCCCGGCTAGGCCCACTTCATAATGGCTTACGTAAATCACACATTTGACACTGTGCAAAGTGAAGAAAATGACATATAGCATAGAGAGCATGAGATCGCTGCAGGACATGAAGAGATAGACTCGAGAAAAACATCAAATCTTACAAATACCAAACTTTCACCTTATTTCGCGATGCGTTCCTCCAAGGGCCTCGATGACAATGGCTGTTGTGGTCGACCTCGGCCACCGGCACCACCCCTTCCTCTCCCAATATCACCTTTACCGCGCCCTCTGCCGCGATTGATGTTTCCACGTCCTCCCGAAACCTAGAAAGTTGTTAGCTCCTGACTTCAGGCCCTACTCAGAAAACCTACTGAAATCCGCCCTAGAAGATCACGCTCTTCCCGGCGAGGGGGACGCTCCTCCATGCTGTATCCCGAATCTGAGAGACGCCGGACATCCGCGGTGTTGGTGTAGTCCGGTCTGTGACTGCCCTCATTCCGTCCACGCCTATCTCTCTCAATGTGCGGCCTGATTTGATGGGAGGGCGAGGGTGACCGTAGTCGATCGTGAATTGAGCTGCGTAGCTCTGGTGAGGTAGAACGACCCCTTCGCCACTCCGTTTCTGTAGCAGGGGAGTGACGGGCGAGTCCACGAGAATTCCGATAGTCTCGTTCTGGTACATAATGATCACCTCGTGGTCGACGGCGATCACGATTGTCATATTCATTATCGTGTTCCGCTGGCCTCTTTTTGCTACTGTTCATCGGCGACATTGGACGGGGAGGAATGGGAAGCCCGTGGGCTACGGCTTCATTCTGTTCGAGGTGCCGATGATGAGATGACGTTGCAGATGCGGGAGGGGGAGAATAATGGTCTGGATAACGAGGAGCCCATCGCTGGCGCTGGCTACGAGACTTGCCACTGGTACCGTTACTGCAGGTGAAACCAGAGGGTTCTGGTGATCTAGTTTGTCCACTAATGTGAGAATTCTGTCTAGAGCGTTGGTTGGGATCGTGACGAGAGGCAGATTCCGATGGCTCAGAACGAGGGGATATGGCATCTGAAGTCGATTCCTGACGGACTACAGAGGCATCCATGACCCAGGGACCTGGGCTGTTTCGGATTGGTGCGAGCCCTGTCACAGGCCCTGATGTACCTGCTGATCCATCTCGAGCATCGGAGCGCAAATACGCACTTGGCGCTTGACCGACAACAAGTTCGACGGAAGTTTGAGGGACACCGTTCATTTGAGAAGCATTAATGTTCGAAATTTTGGCCCGACCAGACGGTGGATTGTCGTTTGAAACGTGAAACACGGCATTCGTGGTAGATCGCGCAGATGTCCCTTCCTCAAGGAGACTGCTAGTCCGTTCTTGATTGTGCGACTCCTCGACCACCACTTCTTCTGTTTTTATCGTCTTGATAGGAAGCGAGTCGTCAGGTCGCTTCACGCTCCGATCTCCAGTAGCACTCTCCTCGACGCGGTGCCTGTTCTTCTTGATGTGTCGCAAATTTGCCTCTCTTTGAGCTGGTGAGGGATTCACCTGTTGACTGACAGTCCATTCAGTCCATTCATTGCCATCGCTAGCGAGGATGGTACGTGACTTGGGAGTGCTGGGCAATGCGACCTTTTTAGAAGTCGGAGGTGGCCCATTTGGTAGGGGAGAAATGGACAAAACCAGAGGGAATTCAGAAGCCAGTTGAGTCGAATACAAAGGCACATCTGTGATCACCTGTCTCCCAATGTCAGTGGAAGCCGATACAAACGAGGGCGTCTTATAGGAGGCTGAGACAGTTGATGATGATGATGCGGGGGTCGACATTGACGATGAAGGAGGACCGTCCGAGGTTGGTGGTGCACTAAACATAACATTGCCCGAAGTTCCCTGAGAACAAGATGTCTTATTTGTTCGCGAGGCAGGCTTTTTTGACGTAATATCTTGTTGACCCGGTAATGGTACAGTATGGTCGAGCGGCGATGCTAATTCGTCGACTTCCACCTCCACATTCATATCTTTCAGGCCATCACCATCAGTCGTAGAGACCGCCAGGCGTCCGGCACGCTCAGCGCGGATGCGAGCAGCATTTTCTGAAGTGGCCTGCTGTTTGTTCGCAAGCACTTGAGCGCGAAGCCTATTAAATTCAGTCTGCGCATCAGGCTGGGGGTTCTGCGACTGTGCCTCTGGGTGTGCTGACTGCTGAGCGAGGAGCTCTCTGCGCCACAGTTTTTGTTCTTCATCAGCCCGTTTCGCAGTCTCTTCGGCCTGGATTCTTCGCCTCTGTGCTTCCTCTTCGACTTGCTGACGTTCTGCTTCGGCAGCCTGAAAACGCTTCTGCTTCAGATACTGGAGCGCATCGAAAGATTGACGAGTCCGAGTGATCCGTTTCTTCAGATTCTCGGTCAACTCGAGTTGGTAGGACAGAGCCTTGTTATAGTCATCGACCGCCTTAATCTCTTCTTCAGTCATACCATCCTCCTTCTCGACAGGAGGCTCGATATCAGCAGAAAACTGAAGTAGTGCTGCGCTGTTTTGAGCCAGAGTCCTTTCTCTCTCGGCACGCTCTTTCTCTGCCTCCCACCGTGTCTTCTCAGACATTACTTCTTGGAGAAGCTTCATCGCTTCATCGATCTCTTCCTGGATGGCCGTCCGTCTTAACTCGTCCTCGAACCTTCGCTGATCGTCTCGCGCACGGCGTTGAGCATCCCGAGCGCATCTCGTTTCCTCTCGGAGTCGCGATTCCTCCTCCAGCGCCACGAGTCTCTCCTCTCTGGTGCCTAACTCCTCCAGCTTCTTCTGCAAGGTTTTCATCTGAGCTTCGTATTCTGCCTCCCTCGTCAACATGTGTTCCTCGAATGCCCTTCGGCGTTCATCGAAGTCTATGCGTTCTGCCTCAAATACTTGGTTCGCATCAGAGTGCAGTTTGACAGCGTCCTCGGCGACGGAGTGAAGATTCTTGATGACTTCAACCAATGACTCACTAATGCGGGTGCTACGCAAGGCTGGCATATCTGAAGATCGTGAACTCGTCAAAGTAAGGGTGTTACCATCATCAATTGGTAATATTTCTCGATCTAGGGAACCCTTGGAATTGCAAGCGCTGTGAGGATACGGGTGTCGAAGCACAATGGCGCCAAGCTCCTCCACATTCGTTTCATTGCGAGGGCCGGCAGCCAACTCGGGTACATTCGAAGGCGGTGCAGATGGGGATGGGGTCCTGATAGGCGATGTAGGAAGGGCAAGGGATAAAATTTTGCTCTTTTCTAGAAGCCTGGCATATAAAGCGTCTTGTGCGGTTTGCTCTTGCGATGTTTCAGACTGCACGACGTCTGGATCATGGTTTGAGCTGGTCCCAGCCATTTTAGAATTCGGAGAAAGATATGCTGATGGCGTTGACGAGGGTGGACTCGGAGTTGCGTGAGGAAAGAATCCTACGGAAAAATGTGGTTTAGGCGACCCAGACGGAATGGACGACGACAAGATGTCATGATTGGGTTGTTCAGTGGTCGGAGTTACAAGAGATGAGCCTGGGTAGACGAGCTCAGGTGTTAATGCCTCTCTGACTTTGTTGGCGGCAGCATTGGTAGGGGCTTGCATTTGCGACATGTTTGACTCGGAAGCAGTCGGGAGAACCTCAATCGGAGGAATTAGATGAGGGTTTGCAGGAACGTAACGGTTGCGATTTATCCGTGGTGGAGGGGGTGGTCCACATGTTGAATGAAGATTTTGGGATTTTGCTGACGAGTTAAGTTGTGAAGGACCCATTTGAATCCGCTCAGCCAGCTTTCGCGAATTTGGGGTACGGGTGGGCACTGGGGGTGGAGGATGCAACGTTGCTGGTGAGGGAGAACGAAAGGACATTTGACCCGGATCAGGCGCAGAAATGCGACTGAGTAAATCGGGCGGTTTTCCGATGGTAACGAATTGGACATCTGTAAAAGTAGGTGGTGGTTGGTGAACAGGGGCCGGTATACAGGCCCCATTGCCAGCCTGCACTGACTCAGACGCAAAGTCGGCACTTAAAAGATGAGAAGGAGAGCCGAACATCGACTCGGACATGATGTTGTTGTGGAATTGATAATGATCAGTTGAAACTTGATACGCGCGCGATTATATATGCCTGTGCGGAGTACAAATATAACAATGGTAAGCACTCGAGCCTCGAGGAGACGAACTGGGTGTACTGATATGGAAAGAATTGCAATCGTATCGTTGAGCCGTTAACAGGTTGAACGTTGCATGAAAGGTGTTGAAACAATTCAAGCTGGTCAAAGAAAAGTATTCAGTCTAGATGGTTATGAGACAAAGAGCATATACCGCGCGTGCCTTCGGCAAAACCCGTAACAACCAGTACTTGGCTTGGGAGGGTACTAAGGCTCTATCTTGCTACCCATGACTCGAATCCTGCAGATACACGCGAGTGTGGGCTGCTTCAAGTTCGCCGTGCAGATGCATAAAGCTTGAAATTTGTTATTAAAGTGAACATGGCCTAATTTCGACGATGTTCAATCCCGAAGCATCTTTACCCTTTCAACTTCGATCTTCTATCTCATACCTATCAAGCAGCCGCAATAGGTACTCCACTAGTTCAATGCCGTATAGAGCTAATAATTTGGTCGGGCCGTACAGACATTTCAGAATTATATGTCTCCGAGCATAGCGCATTGAAAGTGAAACACAGGCCGGGCCCCTTTGAAAACCACTTCCGATTCGATGAACTCTATCCTAATCATCAGATATTGTTTCCTGCAATAACGTTTCGGCGACTCAAGCTCAAAGCGCGTCACTATAAGTATCCACACTAGCTATAGAGATGCTGCATCTCTGTCCTTCTGCAGCTGTGGTAGACGCGACCTCGACCTTTCCGTGAACTCCAACAGATCCCTCACGTTCCCAACCAATCACCACTTTTTCCAAAGCCAATCATAACGATCGGACTGTTCTCTATAACCTTGCGTAACTTAATATGGGCGCAACGAATAGCTTAGAAAGCTCGGGGGAAAAATTCGATCCAAGGCTGGTCATTGGTCCGACTCAAGTCTGTGGGCTCTTGAGTGCCGTACTATTCGGTTGCCTTGCTTGCCAGTCCTACGTGTATTTCACAAGATTCAAAAGTGATCACTTCGTCCTCAAAGTAATTGTGAGTCAGTCAACTGTATAATTCATTGTGGATTTTGATGATCGTTTCATTCGGTTAGGTATCTGCTGTCACGTGCGCTTCAGGTTTGATTTAGTTCCTTCATTGTTTAAATATTGATGTGTTTTATAGCTTGCTTCAGCTGGGCCACTTCGTCTGCATAATATCAACATTATGGACAATGACTGTCAACAGTTATTGTGACCCCTCTCAACTCATGGCGCTTCACGTAGCAGTAGACCTGGCTATTTCATTCAGCGGATTCACGGCATTCATCGTGCAGGCAAGTAATTTCTGGCTTGGTATTTTCATTATTTGTGCTTAAGGGTAATATCAGTCCTTTTACGTATTTCGACTTTGGAAGTTCACGAGAAATGTTCTAATACCCATTTTTTGCGGGGTGCTCGCCGTGGATGCACAGATTTTGACACTCATCCTCGCAGTAACGGCGACCTCAACGACGGACCTCGTGACTTTTGGAGACCTTCAATTTTTACTCATTGCGATTCTTTTCATCGTACGTGCAACCTGTGATATGGTCACCACCGTTGTCACCGCCTTCAGTTTAAGAAAAGAACGATGCCATAGTATCAAGGAGGAGTATGACTCTTCAGCACTCATTTCTCGCGTCAGCTTACATCTGTCATGCTTCATAGCATGGCGACGATGATTGACCGGTTGATGCGTTGGACAATTGGTAAGGCAGGCAGCATCTTTATCGAGATGGATGTGCTTTTTAACGTCACCTCTACACAGAAACCGGACTGATCACCAGGTATTTGATTCTTGTATGGCTATGGCTTACAAAGTGTTTGCGTTAATGATTCATCAGTTTAATGGCCATTGTATTGGCAACATGGGTAAGAGCCTCACTATCTATATCATCTGGAGCGTTCTTTAACTAGCTTCAAGTTTCTGGTCGTGCCGCAGAGCTGTGAGCATGTTGGTACTCTGCATCCTACTGCAGCTGAAATGACGTAGATGTGTGGTTTGGAGTATGGTTGATCTGGCCTAACGGTAATGACATGAAATACCTCAAAAATTAATATATTGACCCACGTATTGTGCAGTTGTGGGGAACTTCTTGTTAGCCTCGTCAGTCGCTAAACGGATTCAACACATAATAAAAACGATGAACTTACCGATGTGACATTCAGGTTAAATCGGCGGTTACTCCTTCGCGAGAGTTGGGGGGCTCCAAGAGGTAGTGCCCGGAGTTGTGGTGGTATAGTGAGTGCCTTCCGAATTCCTGTACGGCGATTCTAATTCTGTTTCAGAACACGATTGTCTTCAAAGCCGGAGCTATGCAATCACAAGCAGACCCACTGGAGAACTCCAGGAACCTCGACGTTGAAATGTTCCAGGCAGAAGGCCCAGCCGACGAAGAATACGGGCAGGTTTAAAAGCCTGCGGTGGTCATACGCAGACGACAAGACTCCTTGCTGACTGTTTGACGGTGTAATTTCGCATTAGGCATGTCCATAATGATAGATCTACGAGATATGCTGAGTCTGCGGGTAATGCACACTTGAAGGACATTTACAGCACACTAATATTGATGAATAAATGTTAGATGTGGATATGCTTGCTGAGGAGTGTCAGGTCACTTTGGAATTTTGGGTAAGTCATATAGCTACTACGAACCGAAGGTCCCGTTTTAGCACTGCTATCACACGGCAACGACTTGAACTCGAACACAACACACGTGGGCTCACTGGCTTACTGTCGAGGATAGTCAACTCGAATACTCGATCAGCACAGAACTCATCCTGCTTACCGTGACACACTTGACAGAGCCCACACTATCTTTGATACCGGGACTCGGACTGCAAGTGTGATTCAATCAATATCATCACTGTCATCAGACGAAATTCAAGTCACCGAATGTCCTGGGGAGCGACCCCAGCTGGCCTAGAATGGGAGTTCAACTACACTACAGGCACTTTGAAACCTGGCCCACTTATTACGAATCACATTTCGATAATTTTATGGCCCGAAGCGTCTTTACCCTATCACGCCGTCAAGGACATAGGTTTCATGAAACTTATAAAAAATCTTGCGAAGCTACGTACTGCGCAAGTTCAACACTGGCTAGCTAATAATATCCATCAATATGTATCCACCGTCATCAGTTAAGCCGTGCTGCTATAGGTAGTCTGTACAGTCGGCTTCTGATCGATCTGATATGTAACACACCCGCGACAGTCCACCGAAATTGATCAAGGTCATACCAATGTTACACGACTTGTACGTCTTCGGGCATATCGCAAAGGGAAGTCATGTCCAGGGATTTGGGAAAAGAACCATAAGAAAGTAAGTACAAGTGGTGTACGCACTTGCTACTCCCATCGCCAGACGTACTAACTTGTATATGATTCTAGATTCATCTTACAAAGATCTTTTTCCACTAAAATAGTCACTAGTGCGAAGAAAAATTTATCTTCTTGATGCACGAGTCCTGTCCAATTGTGCTTGTGGCGATTACGCTGCAGAAGCCATGTGTCATGGGATATTGTTGTCCTCCGAACCTGCTTCGGTGATTCAAATTCAACTTTGTCTATATCTTCATACAGATCCTCCATATGTGCCATTTCGTCTGGCCCCTTGCATCTACATCATTTTCGTAAGTTATATACGATGATCAGATTGTCTCCGATAATTTTGCTAAACTCAGTGTGAGCACGATGAATAGCTGGGACGCTCAACCAGTGATTTCGATGCAAGGCTAGTCATCGGGCTGATTCAAATCAGTGGACCGTCGAGCGTTGCATTATTCGGTTGTCTTTTCTGTCAGTTCTACGTGTATTTTGCAGGATTCACGAACGACCACCTCATCCTGAAAGCAGCTGTTAGTCCTTAAAACACCTTGATCATTTCATACGGCCAGGTCTCTGCAGTCGTGTCACTCATGTGTGGTTCCTCAAGTTTCAAATTTGACTAGGTTGTTTCAAATACTGACACACTCACTGGCAACAGCTTGATTTACGACTCTAGCAATTCATGAAAGAGCATGCGTATGTCTCGGGCAATCATCACTATGGTTAGACGGTCTCACTAAAGGCCTGGATTATCAAGTAACTGACTGTTTCTGATGGAGGCAGACATGCACATAGCCCACAGGAACCTGACTCAAGTACCAGACTCAATTTGGCACAACAACTGAACCGCATTCTCGTCCATAAACTCCATCGGGACCTCCATGTATGCTTATTAATTTTGTAATCAGGCAAATGAGTATATAAAGCTGGTAGAATTGGAGATCCACGAAACTATAGGCCGTTGGTGAACAAGAGTCGGCCTATGGGCCCATTAATGTTTATTGCACCGACTGCGCTAGGGAATTAATGACCGGTCTATCTACGCACAGGCATTCTCGCGGAGTTTGAAAGACGCGTCACATCATCTCAGGCCCGCTCCTACCGCCGCCAGGCTGCATACCACACACGGGCCATGTGCATGAACATCAGAGAGTTCTTCACGACCTCGGTGGCCAAACCCCGATCCTTTCTATTTTCGACACCCTTATCCACTTCAAGTCATCCACCTTTCTGGCGCAGCGTACTGTGTAAGTTGGTATGTCATCTAAGATCTTCAAGGCCGAGCATATCGCAACCGCAAAATCCCAGCTGGGCACTTTTTATTCGTGAGCTTGAGTCAGAGCTTCGTATAGAGCTACGAACAGTGTAAGCTCCGCTGATACAGCTACTCAGGTTCGCGTCGCCCAGCTTCAACTAATGATCTAGATTCAGAGGTCACAACTCTTTCTCCAAAAATAGTACCAAGTAGTCTCCACATCAATCTTCATTGTGTGCAAGCACAAGGATAGATCAATCCCAATTTTGATGTGGCAGCCATGTGCACGAACTGGTTTGATGTTTGTTCTGATGGCATTGAATATTGCTGTCCTGTGAACATGATTTGGTGAACACTGTGCTTCGGTGTTCTGAAAGCCAAGCGCGCTGTTCTATATATTCACACATCGACACCACTGTATCATTTTTCTTTCTACTAGTCCCTCGCATCTCGATTTACTCAACGATTTTGCAAGTCACATACAACGATCAGACCACCTCTTATAACATTGGTGTGGGCACCATGCACATCATAGAACGTTCAGCCAATGATTTCGACGCGAGGTTGATCATTGGGCCGGTCCAAGTCAGTGGGCTTTTGAGCGCTGCACTATTCGGTTGTCTTTCTTGTCAGTCCTGCATATATTTCGCAGGGTGCAAGAGTGATCATCTCGCTTTGAAAGCCGTTGTGAGTCAGTCAAATGCATAATTCAGTGTTGATTTTATTGATCACTTTCGCGGTCAGGTATTTGCAGTCTTGTATGCTTTATATTTGATCGGGCTCCTTCAAATGCCAACGCATGTCCTGCAGCTTCATTCAACTGGGTCACTTTGTCTGCATAATATCAACATTATGGACAATGACTGTTAGCACCTATGGTGACCCATCTCAACTCCAGGTGTTGCCTCTGGCAGCAGACTCGGCCATTCCATTGAGCGCTTGTACAGCATTCATCGTGCAGGTAAATGGTTCCGGATTTATCTTGATTCTTTGTTGCTGATGGGTAGCAATATCAGTCATTTTACGCATTTCGACTCTGGAAGTTGTCTAAAAAAGTTTACTTACCTATCCTCTGCGAAATGATCTCACTCATTGCAGGAATTGCTACACTCATTATCTCATCGAGAGCGTTCGATATGACAGACATCACAATTTTTGAAGACAGTCAAACTATACTGATTGCGCTCTCTCTCATGGCACGTACAGTCTGTGACGTGATCACCACCGTTGCCATCACCTGGAGTCTATACCACAAACGAGTCTCCGACTTTGAAAAGTATGACTATTCGTCGTCTTGCCTACCATTCCTTACGTTTATCATAGCACGACGACATTAATCGACCGATTGATCTATTGGACTGTTGGTAAGATATCAGGCGCCTCCATGAGATTGATGTCCTTTTTAATTCACCTCTGCACAGAAACTGGTCTGGCCACCAGGTATTTAGCTGTTTCATAAGGTGTTTCCATCAATGATCTGTTAGTTTGATGGCCGTTATAGTAGGCAGTGTTGGTAAGGACTTCACCGCCTATATCTTCCCAAAAGTGGAGCATTGTCTAATTAGCTTTAAGTTTCTAGCGATGAAGAGTAGCTGTAAGTGTATTTGTACCGCATTTCACCACCGCTGAAATCACGCAGTTGTGTGGTTTGGAGCATGGTTGATATTGCCAAATGGTAATGATATAGAATACTTGAAATTCAGTACACTTACTGACTCCCATGTCGTTTAGTTGTAGGGAGCTCCTTGTTAACATCGTCAGTCACCAAACGAACTCGACAAATGATAAACCAAACTTACCGGTATGGCATTCAGGCTTAACCGGCGGTTATTATTTCGAGAGACTCGGCGCGCCTCAAGAGGTGACGCTCAGAGTCATAGTAATAGTGCTATAGTGAGCACCATTTGATCAACTGCGTGTGAATTCTAATTCTGTTTCAGAACACCCTTGTGTTTAGAGCTGAAACTAGGCAATCGCAAGCATACATATCAGAGAACTCCAAGCACCTAAACGTTGAAGGATTCCAAAAAGCAGAACGCGGGATCGACCAGGAACACAGACGGGTCTCCAAGCCTACGGTGGTCCATATACATGTTTAACCGATGATGAGTTGCTGCTGGCTATGTACGATGAGGTTATTTGCTTTTGACACTTTGTAGGTTGTTATTAATATTAGTCATGGATGTTGTGATATTGGTTCCCATATGCAAGACGTCCTGAGGCTGCGGGCTTACCTGGGTCTAATGCCACTTAAACGAAGGTTTCTGTACGACTACAGCATTCCGCAAAACATTGGATGCAGATATCTTGGGCAACACCGTAGCATCACTACCATGGCCTTCAAATGACCAAGTTTGGTTATGACCGGGATGATCAGCAGACGATTGCTTTTGAGTGGGTGTATACAGAAGCAGATATGTGTATTGTGCATGCTCCACAGGAGCCCAACTCGAGCACTAGACTGACACTGCATCATATGGTTGGCTTCACCGGCAGATGGACCAGGTCATCGATCCGGCTCCATTCCTGATTCTTCGAGAACTACACCATGTGCCCCATCCACGTCTAGAATGGGTGCAATGGAACGTCTTGCAACCGTCAAGAACTAGCCCCTGATTGTACCGGGTCGCAAAGCTAGCAGAACAAAGACTTTCTTAGGGTGGAGCTAGTGCAGAAATTGCAGATACCAAACCCGGGTCCACGATGGACGACTCCCAAATGGATGACTCTGACAAGTTACCAGGTGGTTTGCCTGTCACGAGGAGGAGCCTCGCTCATGAACGTTGCAGTTGCTGGATCGACTCGGACTCGGACAGCCTTTCGACACATTTTGCTAGCATGTCGGAGAATATAAGTGGCCCGGGATCGCGTCAGATCATAACATCATCGCACGAGTCAAAGACATTGCTTCGGTTGATAGATCATAGCATGCACGTTGGTACTGTAGAAATACTCTGGCTATAGATATTTTAAAAACAGCTCTGATAGGTAGTCGCTTGTGTTTTGATGTGCATTGTTGCTATGTTAGTAGATGCAGATACCCTATACTATGGGTTACGGTTTATTCGTTACGGTCCGCTATTTCGTGAGTCACCCTCATGTCACGAATAGTAACGGACAATCACACTGGCCGAATTTACAGTCCGCTCGGCACATGCGATTCGTGAATTTCAACGATAATTGATTAGGACTCGGAGGCTACTTAGTAGTAAATATGTGAGCTACAGTATGTACGGAGAGCTAAATGCAAGTTATTAACGATGTGTAAAATTTTGCTGAGGGAATGTTTGAGTACTCTATTACGTAACGAGGTACGAGCGAAGGAATAGAGTGTAGTCTTTGTGTAAGCGACGGATGCAGTACGAGCTCTTCCTTTCGTACTGCGACGTCCTCGTATCTCAGCCTAGTCGTCCTCGACGACGTCGTATATCATCCTTTTCTTTTCTGCCATTACCAACTATTAACTTCTATCCTTACTTAAAACTATAGTATCCCCACTAAACCAAACCAGACAACCTTTCAGTTCTCTCTGGTCCTCACATGAATCGCATACTGACTGACCTGGCGCTAGAGGCGCAACCAAACTTCGAGTTTCCCGCATATGCAGCCTGGCTCAATGCCATTATCACAGGAGGGCTCACCAGGGAGGAAGCTCTCGCGCAGATGGCAGAAGGATGGAAACTTGAGCGTCAAGAGCGCATCACTCTCTGGATTCAGCAATCTGAGGAAGACCTTCGGTTACAACGAGAGCAAGAAGAGCAAGAACGTACTGCAAAGGAAGCCGAAGCGGCTGAAGAACTGCGGGAAGCAGAGAAGAAGAAGCCGAAGATTAATGACTTCGACGTTGAAGCTGTCGTGGCGGACGTTCTCATCCCTCGCCCTTCGCAATACGCCCTGCAAAAGATCAAGAGTATGGAGTACGTAGAGCTGTGGTATTTTAGCCCGGAAGGGTGCTGGGAAGCATCAGAGAGTTCTAGGACTGACGGCAGAAGATTCATTCGGCTTGGCAAAGGTCGACGGGTACGTGGCCTTCAAGCCAATGGCCTCATTCAAAGCGTCGCAGAAAGCTCTGCAAGATCATGACCTTTCCTGGCGCCAGTTCGACATGGCAAAAACGAGTTTCCTTGTCCATATTGACAAGAACGGCTGGCCGGACAAGCACCAGCAGGCCTTAGCGCTGTTCTTCACCCTCATCACCAATCACGAGCACCGAGTGCAGTCCTTGCAGTGCAAAAAAACCCTGCTTCGATATGCAGGATTCGTCAGACGAGAATGGCACTGACCGTCTGACCCAGAATCAAGGTTTCAACATTGGTATATTCAACAGCGCCCTATACAACACCCTCTCTGATGACGTTTGGGAGGCGGAGCGCGATGAGAGCATCAAATTGGTATATTCATCCATAAAGTCATCATTCTAAGACTAACCAGCTTCAATCTTCCTTTCTTCCATGCTCCCATCTACGCGTACCCATCGCTACGCTCGTTTCCGCTTCCACGCTGCCGCCATCATACCATCCTTCGGGACCCTTATCGCTTATGGCACCGCTACCACCCAATACCAAACATATTCCACGCTTCCGCTCTGTCTACCCGCTTCCACGCATCCCATCGCTCAACCCTGGCACTCACCAGCTGCAGAACGCCATCACGGCTCCCAACGTGCATTCTCGCCCTCGGGGTCGCGAAACGAGCTCAAGCAAGGAGAAGGAACCTGTCCCTTCAACCAAAGACAATCAGTTACCACCCTTATCATCCATCCGCTGGCAATCAACCCAGCAAGAAATCAGCGAGCAACCAGCAGTCTTTTCCATCGAGCACAGGTCAGGCCGGACCAGCTGCCTGTGCTCTCTGCCTTGGTCGGTTCCGCCACAACATTCACAAGTGTACGTCCGAGTTCCTTTGGGACAAGAGAACCAAAGCGCGTTGCATTCGCAACACGGAAGGACACATCACCAACCCCGAAGGGCGGGAGTTATGTTACGATTGGCAAAGGCCAAGGGGATGCTCAAGCAGCTCCCATTCCCACAGTGCACGAATGCTCAGGATGCGGAGCCAAGGATCACGGAGCTCAAGACTGTCCTCAAGGCGAGGCAATCCAAAGCCCTCACTCCGTATGACCCAGAAGCATGGCTCCTATACCTCAAATCTGCAAATCTCCTGCACAAGTACGCGCACATCCCCAACGGCTTACGGTTTGGCTTCAAGGGAAGCGTACTCCCCATATCTCTTACTTACACTCCTTCTAATAGTCCTTCGCTTATCGTACATCATTCCGCATTCGCTACCATACTCCTTCGTGAATTCTCTACCGGTCGTTACATCGGACCGTTGTCAAAATCGGAAACCGAAACTCTCATTGGACCCTTCCAGACAGCGCCTTTATCTATGGTCCCAAGACCAGGCAAACCAGACAGGTTTCGAGTGGTTCAAAATTTATCATTTCCATTGCATTCATCTCCAACTATATCGTCTATTAATTCATCTATTGACTCTGACCTATATCCATGTACCTGGGGCACCACCGCCACCATCTGCCTCCTCATATGGTCTCTTCCCCCAGGCTCACAAGCCGCAGTTCGAGACGTCGCCGAAGCTTATCGCACGATCCCACTCCACCCATCTCAATGGCCAGGACTGGTCATCAGGACCGGGCCTGACGAATTCGCCATTGATTCCAGTTTTTGTTTCGGTTTCACCGCCTCCGCCGGTACCTACGGCGAGGTGGCAGATGCCAGGGCAGATATATTTCGCTCTCAGGGCATTGGCCCAATCTCAAAGTGGGTGGATGATCATTTATTCATTCGCATTCTCCAGTAAGCATCTTAATAGCTACAACAACCTCCGCAAGTCTCGCGCAGCCATCATCGCGAGGAATGGAGGATTATTGGTGGACGGAGGTAGAAAATGGTATAAAGGGTCTATCATGCCAAACGGCACAGTGGAAGAGTTTGACGAAGATTCGTCCTTTCCGATACTGGACCTGTCATCTTCCTTTCCCCATTCCCTCGAAGACGCATCATTTACTTACTCCTTCGAAGACATCGATCGCCTATCTAAGCTGCTGGGAATCCCATGGGAGCTCACGAAGGACATCCTATTCTCATCATGCGCACCATTCATTGGTTTCCTGTGGGACATCGCGACTCGCACCATCTCAATTCCGGACAAGAAGAAGAAGAAGTACTTGGCTGCCATCCTCAAATGGGAGGCACAACACACGCACACCCTACAGGAAGTCCAGCAACTTTACAGCAAACTACTGCATGCCTCCTTGGTGCTTCCAGCAGGACGAGCGTACCTCGTCTCTCTGGAGGCCATGTTACCCACTTTCCGTGACCATCCGCACATGCCACGTACCCCTCCCAAAGACACCAGCGGAGACCTCCGCTGGTGGAAAGCCAACTTCGCTCGTCCTATCCTCTCCCGCGCCATCCCAGGACCAGTCGAGGTCCTCAACCCCTCAGCTTACTCGGACGCTAGCTCAGGCATTGGCGTTGCGATACGGATCAAAGGCCTCTGGCGGGCATGGTGTCTCATCCCAGGCTGGAAAGGCAACAACAGAGATATCAGCTGGGCAGAGGCCATCGGGATGGAGTTCCTCGTCGCCGCTATCCTGGCTCAATGCGCAAAGGGAAGTTGCATCAAAATATTCGGCGACAATCGCGGTGTCGTCGAAGGTTGGTGGAAGGGTAGGAGCCGAAACAAGGCCACCAATGGAGTCTTCAAGCGGATCCACGAACTCATGGCAACCTCTCAATGCACTGATCCTTACTCGCTACATCCCTAGCGAGTACAACCCCGCCGATGGTCCTTCCAGAGGGATCTATCCTCCCATGCACCTCCTCCTCCCTCCCATCCAGATCCCATCAGCAATCAAGGACTTCATCGTCGATTTCGACGCCCCCACGCTCCCTGCTGAACGCGGCCATCGTGGTGCAAACAGCAAAACGCACTCACCATCAATATCGTGCAGTACCGAACTGCGACCGATCCACCAGACTCAACGACGAGTTTAGGCGCCAAGGCGAGGAACTCCTCAAAGCAGCGCAAGCTTACTTACCCTGCTAACCCCACTCTTAATACCTCCAACCTACGTCCACACTGCCAGGCCAAGGATCGGCTGCGGCTGTGGCTTCCCACGAACTCTCGATCAGCAACCACATCCCTCCCTCATGCAGACGCCCAGCAAATCCAGGATGTGATGATTCACGCCTGGGCGCGCAGCACGCAGGAAGCGTACGGCAGTGGAATCCTCGCATATCACGTGTATTGTGACTCTAAGTCGGTCGCGGAGAATTTACGGGCTCCTGCATCGTCGGAGCTGGTTTCAGGCGTTTATTTCAGACTTAGCTGGTTTTTACTCAGGTAGAACAATCACCGGTTACGTTCACGGAGTGCGGGCATGGCACATCTTACACGGGATAAAGTGGTCGCTAGAGGAGGATCAGATTGACGCGCTGATGAAGGCAGCAAAAAACCTCACTCCCTCGTCGTCCAAACGAAAGAAGAGGCAGCCCTACACGATAGGATTTATAACCAGTTTGTTGCAGAAGCTGGATATGAACGTTCCGATTGACGCGGCCATGGGCAGCTGTCTGACCACGGCCTTTTACTCTATTGCCAGGGCTGGGGAATTTACAATTCCCAATCTGTCATCCTTCGACCCCGCAATACATGTAAAGCGTAGTGACACCCGTATCAAGAAGGACCGCAACGGTCTAGACACCACAGTATTTCACCTTCCCCGCACGAAAATGTCGCACACCGGTGAGGACGTCTTCTGGGCCAAGCAACAAGGTCCTACAGACCCGCACGCAGCGCTGGAAAACCATTTTCGGGTCAATAACCCACCACTTCAGGGCGCATTGTTCTCTTACAAACATGGCAACAGTCACCGGCCACTAATAAAGTCCAAGTTCATAGCGCACCTTGCTCAAGCAGCCAAAGACGCCGGTTTAAATCCTCTGCAAGGTCACACCATCAGAATTGGAGCTACGCTAGAGTACCTCCTCCGAAACGTTCTGTTCGACGTTGTAAAGACTATAGGATGATGGGCAAGTGATGCATTCCAGCTATACCTCCGCAACCATGCGCAAATTCTCGCACCTTACTTGCAAGACACTCCAGTCATCCAGGACAAATATTTGCGGCTTTCTATGCCGCGCGTACGTTAATCAGCATGTGAGTTCTCGTCCACCTCCTACTGTCATGGGAATCCGCGGTTCGCTCGATGCGTCGTCAGACTCCTGGCAACATGGGATTCGCAGCTCACCTTTTGTTTTCACAGGATCAGCAGATCGGGACCGGGAGGCGCTGCGCGCCTTCGCCCAAATAGCTCAGAACATTCTCCATAGTAGGACCTTAGTTTTCGCGTGTCGAAGTAGTAGACAATATTATCGGTGGCTTCTGGTATCTATACGCATCTCAGCGTCTCACAAAGAATGAAGATGTGCCAGTGCATCAGTAAATCGGTGAATTCTTGCCGGGGATTATGCTGATTATGGTGCTTTTACATGGTCATATATTGCTTTATATCACTTTATATTACAATGTGACGAAAACCTTTCCTATATATTACGATATATAACGATATATGACGATATCTTCTTCTCACAGGTTCTCTGATGTGGGTATTGATACATAGATGGATTGTGAACTTGAAGTTCGTGACTTTGTGCCAGATGTGGAGGTTGAGCGCACATGAAACGCACTATTAAATTTAATGTCCGACATCGGCAGCTACGGCAAGTGACACTGAATCGTGATTTTTGCTGCTGTCACGCTGAAAACACGATCTCTACCATTTCTCAACATATTTGTTTTATTTCACTTGGGATATGATAGTATAGTATATAGAACATACCCAGTGAAGTAGCTAAGCAATTACTTCACGATTGAGTGCTGTAGACAAAAATCACGAAATAGTGGACCGTAACGAATAAACCGTAACCCATAGTAGCCTCACTCAAAGCAGACATTCATTTTCTCCGTCATCCCACGCCAAACTGCTTTGCAGATTCATGACCACCCCTTAAAGTTGAATTCATTCAGGATCCCGAATTGATTTCCCTGTCTACTTGACTTCGTGGAACAGTACTCGCCTCGATACAGGTAAGAACGCATCTTGGTGACAGCTCATGTTGTGATGGAAATGCAGTGGAAGTAATAACCAGATCAGCGCCATCAAGCAATGACTCGCCACATTCGGCCTCTGGCGTGGGGCGGTGTGTACAGTGTTTAGGATATATAGGAATAGTTGAGTCGTCTGCGTAATGGGGGCTGTAAGTGCAGTGACAACTAGAGCAGACCGCATATACGACAGTTTTCCCAGTGAGACAGGCACCGATGAATCCAGTACATTTGATCAAGGAACCCCCTCCATCCAGTTTGGACTCTCGCTATACCCAGCAACATCCGCACAGACGAGCTTACTGTGACCCGGGTAAATGCACAGGGTTCGTTGCATATCTTTCCCCAAATGGCCCCAACAAAGTAGATAGAGCACCGTGCAATGGGATCGCTAACGTGCACACACCGGAGACGAAGCGAAGGAAATTTGGGTGTGGGCAGCATATGATGCACCTGTTGCACTGGGTGACCTCGTCCTGTAATAGTTTTTAAGGAAGTGGGGTGTGTCACTACCTAAAGTGCGCGATGCGGGTGGAGCTGCGTTTTCGATATTAGACAGTGTGGTGGAGGACTTTTACAGGGACGCGGGGGTGATAAGGGCAGTGGGTGGAAGGTGAGGGCGCCATGGTCTTGTGCATAGGAAGTGAGAAATCAGAAGGAGAAAGGTCCGGTTGAGGAGTCGCCTGGATGGAAGTGGGTGAAGGAGGGAGATTTGGACGAGATGTGGAGGGAAGACGCAGGATTCATCAAGAATAGCTTGGATGGCACATCGAGGTGTGATACATGAGATACCGAGTCCCAAATCACTCTTCCAGATAGTGTTGTTGATTCGTTCCAGGTGGGCTCGCTGTTATAAGGTCCCGTTAAAAGTGAGGAATAAGAAAGGAAAACATCGATGATGAGAGGCGAGCGACATGTGCGACGTGGGCTGCGGACATGCGGTTTACACTGACGCCAAGCGTGACACGGCTGGCTGCAACGAGGGAGGGGCTGCTTGATAAGATGAAAAAAGCAGCTCGGAGCGCAGGGCTGGAAGAAATGGAGGTGTGGAACTTGAACGTACCAAAGGATTTGGATGGTCTGGAATTTGAGGGCGAGGGAAATGAGGCCTCGTCCCAATGTTCAGAAGTAACACACCTCTTTAATTCCAGCAGAGAGATGCATACCTCGCCACCATGCCATTTATTTGAGTTCTCTGTATGTCCTCGGCCCTCCCTCGAGATTGTCGATATTGCGCTTGAATCCCCCTTCGAAGATTTGGCATCTGTATTCCTCTCTTCAAACCGGAATCCCATTGTAGCTGCTTGACAATTATTCAAGTTGGTGTACTTTGGAACCTCCTCATAATTGGTACTTGTAAGTACCAGGGAACTTTGTTTATAATTATTTACCTCCGCCTGCCAGGGTGATCTCAAGATCAAGTTCCAACACGAGCAATTACTGGCACCTCTAAACCAAATATTGTGAGTCCAATTGCAAGATGGCAAATATTTCGTGTATGTGGTCTGTCCCTACACACCTAATCTGGTCTGATTGTTGTCAGACTCATGATGCGGCTAAATTTATCTGCAGTCGTACCAGTGTATATACACTCAATACCCGTAAATTCACCTTATATCACACTGGTGACTGCAACCAAGTCAAGTCCATCACATTCATTACTACGCATCGAAGGCTGTGTTTTGTTTACATTAATCAGTGCCAGTGTTTCACTGGTGCTATATTAATCCGTACTGATCTCCCATGGAGGAGCTACATTTCTCCATTTTCTTCAGCCCTGGTGGAGGCAACTTTCGGCCGTCCCTCGTGTCCCAAACTAATCAACGCTTTCGTAAGCCAGACGAATCTAACTGATCACATTATTCTTATAACCTTGCAAAACTTAGTATAGGCACAATGAATAGCTTCAAACGAGCAAGTGATTTCAATGCAGAGCTAGTCATCGGACCGATCCAAGTCTGTGGAATGTTGAGCGCGGCGTTATTTGGCTGCCTTGGCTGCCAGTCCTACTTGTATTTTGTAAGATTCAGCGACGATCATCTCGCCCTAAAAGCAACTGTAAGTCCATCAACTATCCAATTCATCGTTGATTTGATTGATCGCTCCATACGATTAGGTATCTGCAGTCATGTGCGCCCAATGTTTGACTTAATTCCTCCGGATATCAACACAGATTTTGCAGCCTAATTCAGCTGGGCCACTTTGTTTGTGTATTATCGATGTTGTGGACAATGACTGTCAGCACCTATGGTGACCCATCTCAACTTGCGGTGCTCCCTATAGCGTTAAACGTCGCCGTTCCGTTGGGCGGTTTAACAATTGTCATTGTGCAGGTGAGTAATTTCTAGATGTATATATCCATTATTGCGTCTTTACGATTCATATTAGTCATTCTACACTTTTCGACTTTGGAAGTTGACTAGAAATGTCTTCTTGCTCATTTTTTGTCAAATGCTCTCCGTGATTGCACAAACTTCCACGTGCGTTCTCGCAGCAAAGGCAATTTCCGCGACGAACATCGCGGATTTTCAATTGCTGCTGATTGAGCTCACTTTCACTGCACGTGCAACCTGTGACTTGATCACCACAGCTGGAATCGCCTGGGGTTTGAAGAAGAGACGAGATCCTGAGAATGAAGAGTATGGCTATCTATCATTTTGCCCGAAGTTGCTGTTTCTTACGTCTACCATAGCACGGTTACGATCATCAACCGGCTGATTAAATGGACAATCGGTGAGACATTAGGAAAGGTCTCCATCGAATGATTTCCCCACCTAACATCACTCATCACCTCTGCACAGAAACTGGTTTAGTCACTAGGTATTTGACTTTTATTATGGCTTACAATTTTTTTGATCGATGATTAGTTTGATGGCCCTTACGTTGGCAACATTGGTGAGTGCTCCGTCATCGATATCTCCTCTCAATGGAACATTCTCTAACCAGTCTCCCAAGCTTCCAGCCCTGAAGCAGCCGAATTGTGAGTGGGTTGATACCCCACATTTCACCACAGCTGATACGATGCAGATTCGGGGATCGGGTTATGGTTGCTGTTTCCTAATGGTAATGATACGAAATAATTCACATTAAATATATTCCCTCACATATTGTGCAGTCGTAGGGAGCACCCTGTTAGCCTCGTTAGTTGCCAAACGGACAGATGATAAAACGACCACAAAACTTACCAATATCATACAGGTTGAATCGTCGGTCGCTCCTTCGGGACAGGGCCTCAACAAATGATACTCAGAGCTGTTCACATACTCTGGTGAGCACCATGCATTTGAATAGTTGCGTAAATTAAAATTCTGTATCAGAGCACGATTATGTTCAACACCGGGACTACACAATCACAAGCTGACCCACCAGAAAAGGAATTTCAAGGACCAATATTTACAAGTGTGAGCACTCAACCAGTCAGGAACAAATGCAGGTTTATTAACGAGCATGTGTTTAACAGACAAACGAAACTATTTCTATGTGCTGACTTTGGGGTAAATTGCAGACGAGATGATTTGTCCTTGGCATTTTGTAGGTTGTTATTAGACTTGTATGTATGTATCAAGGACCGTCAGTGACGATATCAAATTCAGGATGACAATGTACCAGGCGTCCTGTGAGCTTGCTATGCAATCCCAAGCAGAGCCGTTGGAAAACTTCAAGAGTTGGAGGCATAGCAAGTTTCTGAGCCTGCAGTGGTTCATGATAGTCTGCCAGCATGGCTCTAAAAGATACCGAAGAAGGACACTCTTGTGTTTGCCCGGCATTCGGCAGAGCTGATTAAGTGAGATGTGCAGGATGCTCGGGTACACTGGGCAGCACGGCACGAGGGGGCGTATACAAAAAACTAGTTTGCGTTTAATTCGATGGACTCAGGACGTGCCAGGAATAAGCGAGTACTATAGTGTAAAAGCAGAATGATACATAGTTGCATAAAAACACTTGAGAATGAATCATCCGCTTGCTTCCATCTCAGCGAGAGCTTCTTCATTGAGCGCCTCTGCCTCTGCCATGATTTTCTCCTCCAGTACAGCAACCCTGGATTCTGCATCCCGACGCTCACGGTCAAGCTCTGCGTACCGCTCCTGCAGTAGGCGCTCTCTTCGTGATAGAGTATCCACCTCCTCTTTCAGTGACTCTAATCTCCGTGGTCCAGCTGCAGCCTCGTTGATGCTGAGTCGAGCGAAGCTCTCATAGTCCACTTTTGTTCGCACGAGCTCATTGAAAGCTTCAGTAACACGTTTGGAAAGAGCTTTTGAACGTGCTTGATATCCACCAAGGGTGATGTCAAGCTTCTTCTCGGCCTTAGCAGCTTTGCTGGCCTCTTTTGACATCTCTCCACGATTCTCCTCGAGCTAGTGCGGTATAACCGGCTATTCTAGCTTCCGCGGATAGGCTACTGGGTTCTACCCATGTTCTCGAGGCGGCATCGAAAGCGAGCTGCTGACGGACACTTGCCCAACACGCACTCTCATCAATCTCTTCGCTGCTCGACAGCGTTACCAGTCCCTCCTTGACTTGGACTTCAGTTGGCATCAGGGAAGCCAATTGAGGAGGCAAGTTCAAGATGAATCTGAGCTTTAGCAGCAGCGAGGTCATCATCTGGCGGTATCTGATAAGTTGATGGCGTGCCACCAGGAATATTCGTGCCAGGGAGAGGATGCACTATCGAGTCGTGCAGTAGGAGATCCGCAATCTCCGAATTTAGGAGTCTTCTGACCTCCGTCATGTCGTCATCTTCTTCCCCAATGTTCAAGTCTCTCATCAGCTGCTCCACGTCGACCCGTGCAGGACGAGGCAGACCACGGGCAACAACCTGTGTTCGTCTTGCTAAGGCTTTTCTCTCCTCCTCTTCACGTATCCGCTTTAAGCGTGCATCCCTTTCGGCAGCATCTTCCTCCGACAGCGGACCAGCGGTACCATCCTCTTCATTCTTCATCTTCCGGAACCAAAAGCTCGAAGTTGTTCTCAGGTCTTCGGAAGACTCATGAATCCGGCCTTCAAAGCACGCTTGGCGGAGTCGGTACGCAACCGGAGGTCAGCGTGGTGTCTCGCCAACTGGCATACCCGTAGCAGGATTGATGCTGAGGGTATCACGCATAGGCGTCCGCAGTGGGGTTGCGCCCCACGATGCACCATCTCGCGGCGTTGCAGAAACGTCACCTGGGCCGCCATGCATAGGAGTTGCGAGAGGGATTTGGGGTAAAAGCAACTTGATGCCGAGGAGTTGCGCTCTCGAAACCAGTTCCTCCCCCCGGCCCAACATGAAGGGGGGTGTTCTCATCTCCCAACAAGGTGTCTGGGCCATGGTCATGTTCCGTAAATTGCGTGCTTCCAACATGACATTGTCCTCTATGATATAGCTCAGTCGCTGCGATGGAAGTGAGTACTAAAAAAAACTCACGTTGGGGTGCAGTACGAGGTGTTCGTGCCATCCTTGCGCCATCCAGGCCCTCATAATCACTCAAGAGCTTCGCAGTTGCCTCGCTTCCGCCACCGACCAATGCCTTGGCATTCTCCCCTGTCTGCCCAATCTTGACAATGTCTTCTAGCTCCGCCTCACCAACCTGCGCGTTCGGCAACACAAGCTTCCGTCGTCGGCCAATGCTCTCCGCCTCTTTCAACTTTTGTATCTGTGCATCACGAGCAGCAATGAATTTTGTTTGGTGGCCATCATTTTCACCCTTAGCCTCTGCTGCCCGACGTTGTCGCTTCCTTCGTTCAGCCTCTTCTTCGTCAGGTTTGCGTTTGTTTTCTAGACGGCGCAGTGATTGGCCGACTGGCGCCGAGGTAATGCGTGCCTGTTCTTCCGATGTGTCGTAGAAGCCCGCTGCCGGCTTCTTTTCAAAGGGAATGTCAGCATTGTAGTCCATACCCTTATTTTTCGTTTTATGTCGCATACTAAAGCATATCACATGAGGAGGGTCATAGCGCAAAGTAAATAGATTGACGCACATGATTCCAGCAGCCTTCAGCTCACGCTTTTTCTGTAAGACTGCAAGTCGTCTTGCTTCTTCGAGCTGGCGTTCACGAGCCTTCCGCTTAGCTTTCTTGCCCTGTGTATTTGCGAGACGAGCACGGGCTTCGGACAACATTTCCTTCTCTGTATGCAGAGTCAGTGAAAACCCGCCTCCCGGAAAGAAGAAAACCTGCCATCTTCGTCCATGTCAATAGGATCAGGACGTGCAGGCTTAGTTTCAGGGTCGGGGTCAATCTCTCCTGGTCGCAGGCGCCTGATGTCGTCTGCACTCGGTGCTGACTCTCCCCCTGGTCCCGCCAGCCCTAGCTCCTCGTTTTCCTTCGCCTCAGCCTCATCCAACAACTTCTGATATCGCTCAAGACATTGTGTAGCAGTACGACCCACTGCGGGGGCTATTGTCCGCCATTGCGTGGGCATAATTTTTGCGAGGTGCATCAACTTTTCATCCTCGGTCTAAGTAGTACATTGCAGGTTTCAGTACCAAAACAGGGGTCTGCGACACACACCTTTGACCATTCTGTCTTCTTGATAGACGGATCTAGCCACTCATACCACCGCGCTTTACATTGTTTGGGGGTCTTGCGGACCAGCAACGACGATATACGCGCCCTGGTGATGCTCAGTACTAGAGCAGGGCAGCTAATTATGAGTGGACAACTCACCATTGGTTCTTCCCATACTTCGCTATCGCAGCCTTGAGAACTTCGTCCTCCGTGTTCTGGATGAGTGTGTTAGATTCGGATTCCGGTGATACTCAGACCGAAGTTGCAATGTACCTTCCAAACACCTGATTCATTTACAATTAACACGCGTCAAAAAGCATGGATAAATTCACTTGCCTCCTTTGATGATAATTCGAACCATGGCTGGTGGTGGACAGGATTCAACAAGTACTACCGTAGAAGTGTTCGCAATGAAGTGCGGCAGTAGCTTAGTAAGCTTCACAACTCGGAGGCGGTTCTGAATTTATTATTTGTTCTCGACGTTGAGTGCAATCAAACGATAACAACAGCACAGTGGTCAGGCGATGTCGATGAGCGGTGAGGAAATTCAAACCACATCATGCACACTTCTTCTGACCTTTGACCTGAATAGATACAAGTATGGAAAAAATTAAACCACCACTGAGCACGACGACACCTGCCAAATTCCAACCTAGTAATCCATAGCAATCAAATGGGCCGTCCAGACCAAGGGTCTTCGAGCAACTTCCTTTGCTATAGTCCTTTTCTCTGGGATATACTGCAGGATTTTAGCTCAAGCAACAGCTTCTTACCTTCACCTTCCAGTCTCCATAGAATCTGCCAAGGTGACATCTCGTGTGACGAGGTTTGGGCGCTTGGATGATCCTGGCGCACCGTTAGCAGATACGTGGCAATGGTTTTTTATTACAACTTGCCGTCATATTTAAAGGGGGGCTGTCAGTATCACCTTGGATGATTAGTCGACGAATCCAATGAGCTGAGCAAGATGCGCAGCCCCTGTATCTTCAGGATCGAATACATTCCATCGCGTGGTCTTCATCTTTGATTACGTTCCATATCTGCGACCCAGCGACGTCAACGAGCTCACGCCCGTTGTGCCTTCGGCACAAATCGAAGGAGCGCTACGCGCTCCTTCAGGGGAGAAAAATGAGTGTTGTTCCTTCGTCACAGGAAGCCAAGGAGGGCTACGCCCTCCTTTGGCTTCCTGGCCTCAGGCTGCATCCTAATAAATTGTGCATTTTGAATGATTTTGAAATATATTTATGAGCAGCTTTTCAAAAAAACTCAAAGTACAATCTATCACACCACATAAAAGTACATAGTACTACATACAATCAGTCAGTGCTATGTTCTTTGAGCAGGATTTTGACCAATATAAAAATACAAAATATGTAACAGTATCATTGAATGTATTTGTTTTCCCATTTTTCCCTGCTTCCCATCTAGGGATCAGCAGGGGTATGGGAAACCCTTGAGGGTAGGGGTAGGGGTTTGGATCTGAAGACCCCTGTACCCCTGGGAATATACCTCCAAATTGATTACCATAGGAGTGATGGATCAGTATAAAATTTTGAAGTTGTACATGTGCCTTCAAATGGTAATATATGTGATTGGAAAAAATGTTACCATGGGGTATACCCATGCTAATCCCTACTCCCTACTCCCTACTCCCTACTCCCTACTTCCTACTCCTGTCTCCTGTCTCCTGTCTCCCGTCTCCTGTCTCCCGTCTCCCATCTCCCGTCTCCCGTCTCCCGTCTCCCGTCTCCCGTCTCCCGTCTCCCGTCTCCCGTCTCCCGTCTCCCGTCTCCCGTCTCCCGTCTCCCGTCTCCCGTCTCCCGTCTCCCGTCTCCCGTCTCCCGTCTCCCGTCTCCCGTCTCCCGTCTCCCGTCTCCCGTCTCTGTTCTCTCAGTCTCCCATCTCCTGTCTCCTGTTCTCCCATTTCCCCATTTTCCTGTCATCACATTCTCTGGTTTTTGAGTCTACATTGTCTTTGTCTCCTTTTTTTATTTGAATCTTATCTCCTGTCACCACATTTGTTATCTCCCTGTATGTAATTGTATCATATGTTGTTCCATTTATGTACATATACAGTCACTACTAATAATTGCAGTAGGCAAAACACTCAAATCCTGTTGTCCCCCTGCTCAAACACATTATTTAATGCCATGTACACATACAGTTACCAATGTTGTTGCGCAACATTCCCAATGGGTGACGTTGTTTGAGTCGCCGCTCGAAATATACATGAAAACCACGCGAGTTTCCAAATAGAAGTTCAAGCGAGGTAAGCGAAAACCATGTGGCCTTAGGCGAATCTAAGCATATCTAAGCGTATCTAAGCATATCTAAGCGTATCTAAACGAAAACCACATGGCGCTACGCGAAAACCACGCGAGCGCGCGAACATTTCCGAAACCTTTCTCCCTTTCTTCTTAAGACTAGTCCACACCCGTTCTGCCTTCGGCACAGGTCGCAAAAAAAGAGCGCTTCGCGCTCTTTTTAAGCTCCCTGGCCTCAGCTTCATCCCAATAATTCAGAAGGCTCCTGATGAGCATTGTTCCTTCGTCACAGGAAGCCAAGGAGGGTTGCACCCTCTTTTGACTTCAGGCTGCATCCTAATAAATTGTACATTTTGGACACTTTTGAAATACATTTATGAGTAGCTTTTTTGAAAAAACTCAAAGTACAATCTATCACACCACATAAAAGTACATTTACAATATGTAAGGATGAAACATTTGATCCTGTGGAACCAATTTCCATGACTTTCCTGCCTGTGCTGGGCCTTCATACAGATTTGTTCACACACAGTCAGCTTTACACTGCACTATTGAGTGTGCAATGTCAAAGAGACATTCAGGCACTATTTCCTACAGAGGCCGAGGAGAAGACTATGGCAAACATAGTATACAGACACACAATGTTTGAAGGTGATTGGTACTCTTGTAGTACATAAGATCAGTCTCTTCCCTATGTTCTTTGAGCAGGATTTTGACAAATGTAAAAATACAAAATATGTAACAGTATCATTGAATGTATTTATTTTCCCATTTTCCCCTGCCTCCCATCTAGGGATCAGCAGGGGTATGGGAAACTTGAGGGTAGGGGTAGGGGTTTGGATCTGAAGACCCCTGTACCCCTGGAAATATATCCCCAAATTGATTACCATAGGAGTGATGGATAAGTATAAAATTTTGAAGTTGTACATTTGCCTTCAAATGGTAATATATGTGATTGGAAAAAGTGTTACCATGGGGTATACCCATGCTAATCCCTACTCCCTGCTCCCTACTCCCTGCTCCCTGCTCCCTGCTCCCTGCTCCCTACTCCCTACTCCCTACTCCCGTCTCCCTACTCCCGTCTCCCATCTCCCGTCTCCCGTCTCCCGTCTCCCGTCTCCCGTCTCCCGTCTCCTGTCTCCTGTCTCCCGTCTCCCATCTCCCATCTCCCATCTTCCCGATCTCTCTGTTTCCCATCTCCCGACCTCCTGATCTGTCTGTTTCCCATCTCCCGACCTCCTGATCTCTCTGTTTCCCATCTCCCATCCTCCCGATCTCCCTGTTTCCCATTTTCCCATCCTCCCCATCTTCTGTTCTCCTATCTCCTCCCATTCTCCCTGTTTCCCATTCCCAATTTTCCTGTCTCCTCACTATCTCCTGTTCTCCAGTTGTCAAGTCTCTACTTTCTCTATTTTTTATTTATTTTTTCACAACCTTTTCTCATTCATTTCCTGTCACCACATATATTTGTTGTCCCCCTGTCTGCAAAATTATATCATGTTGTTCCATTTTCAATTTTATTATTTACTGTATGCATGTAACATAAACAATTACATTACAATAAGGAAAATACTTGTATTGCGTAGTGCGCTGCTCTAATGGGCAAGTGAGTCGGCGCTCGAAAGCCACGCGAGAAAACCACGCGAGTTTCCAAATAGAAGTTCAAGCGAGGTAAGCGAAAACCATGTGGCCTTAGGCGAATCTAAGCGTATCTAAGCGTATCTAAGCGTATCTAAACGAAAACCACATGGCGCTACGCGAAAACCACGCGAGCGCGCGAGAGTTCCCGAAAACCTTTCTCCCTTTCTTCTTAAGATTCCATACCGCTGATTTCCAACCTCAACATCAAACCTAAATTCCAGATATCCGCGTTGTATGTCCAAGGCGCGCCAAGTGCAACTTCTGGGGCACGGTGCCCGTCGAGCTATAATAGGTGTTGTCCAAGAGGGTACGAAGCATCCCTGAACATCGCAGTGTCCGAAATCTGTAAACGCTGGTTTTCCAGGCTTGTTATCAAGGGTTCAAAATCATCTCTGGAAAGACACATGGTACGGTCGACGAGAAATTTTTGGATCGAAGGCTATCTGCTTCATCGCTGCCGACCGTCCGGTATCGATATGGATGTCAGCGATGGTGCACAGACAGACTCTCGAGCTCAACCAGTATATCGTCGCGTGTGATATCTTCAAGTTGAATAAGGGATACTAACAATCAGACTCGCTGGTGTAGACGACGTGACGCTCAGTATGGATATAGTTTAAGCCAGACAAAAATACATGAGCATCCATCTGAGAAAATCGGACAGATGTGGTTTAGCTTAGTCGAATTTCAAGCAACTAGATGAGTTCCCGCATGGGTTCGTAGATGAGGCATTTGTGGTTTCCGTACGGGCCTTGATAGACTCGAACGAATCGATAACGGCAAATGCAGCCTAGATCATATGACGAATTCACCTTTGCGATGGGCCCGACATCTGTAACTGATATGAAGCAGACGCGGCATCATGAGACATGTTTATTGGTGCGACTTTCAGCGTCGCATAGCGTGTAGATCATCAAAGTCGTCTGGGAACAATATATTTGAGAGCCCCTATCTTGAGGATGACCCTTGGCAGGCCTGACTGCACCATACCTTCGCTCTGTTAGGTTTCGCGAATCACATCTTCCCAGTTTCACAGGATAACGATACATTCTTCCTCGAGGGAGGCAGCATTTTGGCCCCGAGTTTGGAAGCCTGAACTATCGACGCTTGCAAGCGTCCAACGAGTCTTCGCATTGGAGAGGAAGTAGAGCACCCTAGTGAGTCAGTGACAAGTCTGACAAGCCAGGAAGGACAAATGATTCGGATTCGGATGGGAGCTCAGATCCGTCGCGTGGATCGTGCGCAGCATGTCGACGTTGATGTCAAACTGCGCACCGTGACACCCATGGACAGGTGAACGCAAAGAGTGATCGGTCTCGTCAAGGGTATGCAAACGCGCACGTCTCTCAAGGCCTTGTAGTCTAGAGGTACGATACTTGCTTTGGGCGTTTCACAATTGCAAGTGGCCTGGGTTCGATTCCCAGCAAGGCCCTTCCTTTTTTCTTTTTCTCGGTTCTCAACATCATTAATATTACGAGGCTGGGGACTTTGGAATATTTTTCAAGCG